TAAGCTGCATATCTGCATATGCATAGGTAAAACTAAAGACTAGATTGATGCAATTTAAGCCAATTTTGGAGAGAATTGGAAATGGTAAATTGTAACATTCTAGTGACTTATCCCAGACACAAGAAATATGTGTGACATGCAAACCTCAGTCTTTAAGACAGTAGTATATAAATTCTTCCTTGACCAAGGGTACTAAAACACAGGCAAAGGAAAGCACTGGGTAAGGTTCAGCAACTTGGCAAACTACATGAAAAAAGGGAGAAGAAAAATGAACTTCAATTTCTAATTCAATTTACAAAACAATAACAGTAGAGGAGTGCTGGCAGAGAAGGATCATACCAAAATAAAATTGCTCAGAATGAGTGAAAAAGAGCATCTTACTTGCTCATTTTTACCTGAACATGCCTGAACAGTTGTATTCTTGTACTTCACTAAGCAAGAAATATAAGCTCACCTTATTACTCTAGATGGACCCTTGATCATTATCCTTATTTTTAAAAATTTATATTCCAAATGGGTTTTACATGTCTTCCTTGAGCACCAAGTGAGGTGAATGACACAAAAGGCAGCCAGGATCCATTTTATTAATTGATGCAAAGAAATAAGTTTCTAGAAATTAAGTTTTTACAACCAGGCTCTGTCTCTGCCCCAGAGAGCTTCTGAGCCCTAGTGTTCTACACCAGTAATAGAACACTAACTTTTTTTTTTTGCCATTCCACTGAATACCAAAACCATAAGAAGATACTACATTCCTGCTAAAGTGCTTTTTGTGTATCTTGGGTTGAATTATCCTCATTTTAAATAAGTCACCAAAATGCTAAATGCTGGAAAGAAGCAGACATCTGCAAACAGTTCCTACTTCCATGGTTATTCTACTGTTTTCTTTCTTCTAGGAAAAGGATATTTGAGGATACTTTACCTATGTGTACAATGTGGGGTTCAAATTGGAAACTTTGAACTCTTCCACAACATTGTTTGTGCCACCGCCTCGACTTAAAAGTAAAGCTCGAATTTCAAAATCTAGCCCACTGAAAAATATTCTGAAGATATTAATGAAAAATATATCTGTAAACTTTTCCAGGAGTCTTAAATGCGTGTTCCACAAGGCATCCTATTTTAAAGATAAGGTAAAAACTTATGTCTCTCCTTAAAGGGCTTTAGAAATTGAGCCAACACTGCAGGCAAATTCAGCAGAAACACTGCAGCTGGAGTTGGCAAATCTGCTGAAATCACATATATCATTTCAGAATTATGTTGGTGCTGCCTGTTTTTATAGCATTTAATAGCAACTGACCTTATTAATTCCCATTTTTATTACATATTCATTGACAGTAGCTGTCACAGCTTCCACTTAACCAGAATTTCCACAAGATTTTTCTTCTGACCAACAAACTTCAATGATTGAGGGGTTCACTTAGTAGCTGTCAACTTTTACTTTGATTATACAGAAACAGAACCAGTAAATCCAAGATGGACAGCAGTACAAATAATGATCAAGCTTTGTAGCCCAGGAAAAAGTGCTCTTGCAAAATATGACCTTTCCTTACCTACGGTTGTTCTTTAGCCATCGTAAGAGTTCAAATGTGACACATAAATATATGCCAGAGACCCGTAATATTAATCCCTAATTATATATTAATATAAATATATTTGGATTCATCCGATTAAGAAAGCAATGCTTCTGTCTGTATTACTGATAGAAAATCCAGGTATTTTGATATTCTATCCCTTCACCACAAAAGCTTCTAATTCAAACATTCTGTCTTTTTATTAGCCAGCAAAAAGAAGGTTTTTAAAAATTTATTTATTTTATTTTAATTTTTTTTTTTTAGTTCTGACTACATTACCTGCATGATAAGAAAGTAAATGACTGAAAAATGCTGCAGTGGTGGAGGAAAGTAGGAATTCATTGTCCTTTGGGAATTCAAGCTGGGGTCCGGGCCACAAATGCTCTTTGATTTTGCACAGTGCTTTCAGGGCTAACTTCTCAGGCCTTTACTTCTCAAGCCAGGTAAGCCTGGGAGAACAGCATGGTACATTCAGCTTTAGAAACCACGATTTCCTTGCACCACTACTAAAAAGCAGTTTACAGCTGAGCTAAGCCAAGTTAAGCTGTGAACCACACAGCTGCATTCACTGAAACTCAGCCCATGAGAGGGACTCCAAGACACAAACAGAAGGTGAAAATCTTCCAGTTATGGGTAAAGCTTTCACAGGCACCCATCCGGGGACTCATTTTGGTACTTCTAAGTCTTGTCATTCTTGGATTGATAGTTCATACGGTTACTCTTATCAACCATAGTAGGATGTCTTGTGTTTTACATGTGGGCCTTTTTTTCCCCCTTTAGGGCCACACAGTCAGATTGCTACTTAGCATGACTAAAATGGGAAGGAAATCCTCCTCTTCAAAAGAGAAAAAGTGTGAAAATCAAGAGTGTTCAGTATTTACAAACAAGGGCGCAGCAGACCATGGAAGAATAACATCTAAATTACTTAGATTTCCACTTCTCACAAAACATTCAAGAACAAATAAAGGTAAATCACATTATTCTTAAATGCATCCATCATTGAATTGAGATATGAAAGCTATTTTTTCTTTCTTCTTCAGTATTCTGTTGTCAGCTCTCAAGGTCTTTCTCCCCAGCATAATGGGGAGTAATTCCTTTGCCTTTTGGGGCAAGCAATGGGGAAGTGAAACTTTTTCAGCTGAGTAAGAGCTCTTGGCAAGAGTACTCACTTGTTTACAGCTTCTTACAGTAAGTAAAGAAAGGTTTCTTCGTCTTTCACTGTGCTTTATTTCCTAATTTTTCTGTTGTCGTGTGTTCCCCCCACTGTATAATCAGTGTAATATTCAACAAATGCACTTATTTCCACCTCCCATAAAAATCAAAATAAAAGAGCACCATTCACTGTGACAGAAACTGTATTTTTTCTCTTGGCTTCTGAGTATGATGGCTTCTTCCAGATGTGAAAGTACCACAGACAGTGCAGGCCCTATCAGTTGGTACATATTTCTGTACTCAAAGGCAATCAGCAAGACTGCATTGTCTTTCAGGTCCTACTCCTGGTCATGGTCCTTCCATGATTATGAGGTTTTAACTAAACCTCTCACAATTAATCTTATTTATCTAGAGTAATAGTTTTTCTGTTTGTTTGTTTGCTCTTGTTTTTTTTTTTTCAATTCTTGCTAGGATAGCTGAGGATGGAGTCTGTTAACATACACACCAGTATTGTTGTGATCACTACTTGAAATAATTGACATTTTACCTGTTTTTACTTGTAAGTAAAAAGACGGGCTTAGCTGCAAAGAACATATAAAGATAATTTATTGTGGGGTAAAAAGGGATAAAGATGGACAGCAACATATCTAGGACACTTTAAAATAACAGCATAAATGTTGCTGACATCATAATGTTGGTGGGTTTTTTTTGCTATTCTTCTTTTACTATCACTACTGCAAATAAATGTTTATTTTGAGACACTAGATGTCCTTCAGCCTTTTAGGTAAAAAATTGTCTTAGGACATACTTTAAGGAGTGGTGGAAGAAGACTGAAATTATATTTGAATCTTAAAATGTTGTTTTAGTGATATTTTAAAATAAAGTTTCTCCAAAAGAGACTTGATATTGGATTTATGCCTATACAGTTAGGGTGAACATTGATGGTAACATTCTCTGGCACTGAAACTAACTGAATAAAATGACATTTGCACATACAGTTACTCTCTTTTATCCTCCAAAAGAGCGCAACTAGAGCCACACTGCCCACCAGGAATGGCCCCAGGCCTGGGCTAATCCCCAGCCATTATCTGGGAAACACAGTGAGAAAAGCCAGGTGGCAAGGACTAAAACCTCACCAGGAACTGAGGATTTAACAGTAGAAAAGACTGTCGTTTTGTGCTCATGTAGTAGTTCCTTGAAGTAGTACACACAGTAGTACAGAAACAGCTATAGAGAGATTTCCCCTACCACTTCTGAATCTGAAAGCAGACTGCTGTTCCAAATTTCCCACTATCTACGTCTGCACCTCAACCAGCCTGCACTTCTGGATGTTTGCTGCAGAAGGAATATTGTGGTAGGATAGAGATGGCTTACTTTTGAAACATGTGGGTCTATAAAATCCTATACAGTTTTTGAATATTTATAGACTTGCCAGAGAGAATATGATCCTGTCCAAGCAGTAATTTAACATCCACAAGTTTTTCCAAAAAGGCAACTGAAAGTTTAGATGTGTGTAAGCAGCTGATATTCCCATGCTGCCTGTCAGAATGCCAGATCATGACTGCTTGATACATCAGTCAAGGAGTAGGATGTACAGAGAGGAGGAACATGTGTTGAGTGCATGAGGCTACTAACCAAACATCCTTGGACAAGATGATGCTTTTTCTTTGCTGAAGCATTTGAGAATGGCAAGTGAGCCAAAACCCCAGAACTGAATTGGAATGAAGGAAAGGAGTTTGCCTTCAGCCAAAAGCAGTGACAAACATCTTTTTGTCTTTTCTCATCAATTCAAAATTTCACTCATTTCTAACAGCAATAAAAATGGAGTTCTGGTGTAAGCATTAGTAACTCAGCACCATGCATGAAACAAATCCTAGCATATGCAATAAAAATACTGAACCCTTGACAAATACACTGATAAAACTTGAAAAATTAAAATTATTTCTCCTTCTACTTTTAAATTACCTGGAGACAACATGCAATATTTTGAATTTTATGAATCATATTAATAGCACAAAATAAAAAATATAGCAATTTAATGATTTTTTAAAAATCAAAAGCACTTTGCTGATGATCTTTCTAAATATATTTCCACAAAGTTCATGATTCCTAACACTAAAAAATAACAAGGCTACACCACTTGCTACCAAATATGATTTTTCTCTGAAGAAACTCTAAAAGACTCATGAACAAAACAACACTGCAAGCAGTACCAGAACATGATGGAAGGCTTTGTACTGTATGTAAGAAAAAGTTTTTATGAAACTTAAGAGAATTTACCTTGACAAGAAGTCTGTGAAAGAGAGACGTACTGGGTATCCATGTCGTATTATTTTGACCATGTCTAGAACACCAATATACTGGAGTTGAGCAGACACATAAAAATTGTCAAAAGTATCTGGCAACTTGGAGTTATTAGGCTTTATACAATGAACAGAATGGGCTGTGCAGTTCTGCAGCTTCCCAATAATATCTGTGAGTGATTTCTGTGGGAAAAAAAAAAAAACACCACAACAGTTATCAATCATTATTGTGCAGCAAATGCAATTACTCAACATGTATGTTCTTTCTAACTTTTAAACATAATTTCGTCAAAACACTTGACCTGGCCATTCAAAAGGCTTTCTCAAGCGTATGATTTTTCTTTCTTCCACTGCAAACTGCAGAGACAAATAGTGACTTTAAAATTTTGTTTGACTTTGTTGTTTGTTTTTTTTTGTAAATTTCTGTCCAGAAGATGTTCACTAACCCTGAGCTGTATTGCCACAGTGGTTGGGCCCCCCCGTTCCAGTCTCTGAAGAAATGAGGATGTTCCTTTCTTTTTCAACAGCTGTAGGGGAGAAAAGCACACACACAATACCTTTACCTCAAGATGGGCAGTAAACCATTATCATTGTTACAATTTACTAACAAAGGCAAACCTTTATACAAACTATATCATAGACAATTATTTGAGTTTCTGAAATAATTAGGAAAGTAGATAAATATCCTCAGGTATCTGTAGAGCCATGACTGGCAAGAAAGCTTTGATTTTGATACTAACTCTGAAATTTCTTATGTCTTTGGCAGATGCTTAAGTGTATATATGTAGGCATAGATAAGTAAAAAAATCAATCAAAAGGCAAAAGAAATAAAAAAAGCAAATCAACAATATTAATATTTGAAAAAAACCTTCTCTCTTCTACCTGCACAGGTGAATGCAGATAACCTTTATTTATTTTTTTTTTAACCCATTTTCACCTATTACAGACATAAGTTATCAATAGCTTTGTATCTCACTGGAACCAATGTTCTAGTCCATCAGAGCTGAAAGTGGGGAACAAATTTATTTTTTACTGTTCTACTTCCTTCCTTTGAGACTAAAATGGCAATAATAATGCTAAAAGTGGTCCCAGTAATTAGACTATTTTGTTAAACTTTCTACAGGAAGGCTGGAAAAATTATTGTAAATCCAGGACTTCACCAAGCTCTTAGGTTCATACCTCTGTATTCAATGACAGCCTTTTCACCTCTGACTTTCCTTGACTATCTTCTCCAGTCCACTTATCCCATAAAACCCATTTTCTATCAAGTCAGCATGTTCTGGCCTTCTCCTGTTTTTTTCCATTAAAAAAGTGTACATTTCCTCAGCTTGTCCCACTCAAGCCAAACACCATTAAAAATATTGCAGTGGAAGCAATTTTCTATTCACTAGGCTAAACTTTTGAGCTCTTTTTTATTTCAAATCTTGCTTCCCAGCATGCAATAAGATTTTAAAGGCAAACTGATACAGAAAAGTAAAAAAGATTTGCTTGCTCCAGGGCTTCTCAGAAAAAGAACCAGTAGCATGCCAATGACACATTGCAGTTTACAAAGTTCTTGAGGAATGTAAGTAAAATAAAGTTTTATCTGCTTGACAGATAATGCCCTCATCCCTTCCTCCCAACAGATTAAGTCACTAGTTCAAGACCTTGAGTTAGTGGAAGAGCCAGGAACAATGCTTTGCATGCTAAAGTTCCTGCCTCCTGTCCTGTGTTGCACACTTCTTCCCATGGGTAAGAAGTGTTTATTTCAGAATGAAGGACAGAACAGAAAGGAACCTATGCAAAGCAAAAATTCAAATAATTCAGACTCTTCAAACTTGGACATCTTCAGATCAGGGCTAAGGAACAAGACCACATCGCCAAACTTGTACCTCTCTATCACTCTCTAATATACAGTTTATTTACTCTAATCTACATGGAGGGGTGGAGGGAGGTGAGGAAAAGTAACTTTGTAATCTCTGTTAAGAAGTGAATTGTCCATAAAGAGAAACAACATAAAGTCAATGGAAAGAAGAGTTTTCTGTTAATGATGTGCAGTCATCTGACTAGAATTCTGCTCTATGAACTCTGTAACCCACTGATTCTTCCAAAGGTTGAGAGGGGAAGACAACAGGGTCAAAGTATGTACTGGGAAAATATTCCAGAAAAACAAGGAAGCACAAATGGATGTAAGCATACGAGAGCTGTGAGAGCATCAATGAAGATATACTCTATTTTATTTGAAAAGGGAACACAGTCTTCATAAGTCACAAACACTTGAGCTGGCATCCCCAAATTCCTATGACTCCTTATGTGCTCCAAAACTCTGGCCAGCTATTAGACCTTTTCATGTCTGTCTTAGGATGGATTCACCATTCTCTTGGTCCCTACTACAAGTAGAGTGATGAGTTCAAAGAGGTAGACCATCTTTGAGTATGTGACAGTGTGCTCAAAATGAAGGAACAAATCATTTATAGAAAGGTAAACAGGTAGATAGATGACCATAATCAGAGGAATCTGGACATATATAACCTAGCAGGTATCTAGGACTGCCGACAGCACGCTGAAAGGGGAGGGGAATCATTACAAACTCCTGATGTCTGAAAGTGTTTACTTCTCTTCCCTGGATATGGTGGTGTCCAGAAATTTCAGATAGAAAAGAAATGCCAGTCTCTGTTTGATAACTCTTGCCTAATGTCCATCTTTCCACACCCTCCATGCCCCCCACCCTCCTTTTTTAATTTCTCTTTATTGCCTTTACTCTCTGGAAAAATGCCAATAAAAATGCAGTGACTATTATTTTCCAACATATAGTCATTTTAATTCTAAGCTGATTAGAAAATGCCCCTTACGTTGCATTTCCAGTTATGGTAACAATAACAAACCAACAAACCCAACTATATTCCAGCCTGTCACAGTGGATTTTCAAAGCAACACCGGAAAAGGAAAGAAATTATTTGGGACAGCACAGTTATAGATACAGGCATGATGCACTAAAGAGTAAAAGTACTTACCTACATCCAGCTGCTGCATCAGGAGCCTATTCCAAAATAACAAGCGTCTGTTTTTTTTGTCACTGGAACAGATCAGATACCTAAAATTCTGGTTCTGTCCTGCAGGTCACCACGATACCTAGCTCAAAATTAGGCCAACTTAGTATCTACAAACTAAGTGTTCTGTCTCACCTGCACAGCTCTTCTCAAAGCCTACCTCTGAGAAACCAAGCCATTCTTGTCTCTGTGGGCAGATGAAGGATGAAGTTCTTCCCACCTTCCATCTAATACCTAAAAGTTTAGAGCATTCTCACTGAATATGGAATTTCTGACTTAATTTATCACTCTTCCCAAAGGAATCTGAATACGTCTTCTGTCTCCCAAGAGAGTAACTCCAGGTTAAATGCTATTCTGGACTGGTCAAAAACCTCATCATTTCAGAGATCATGTGTGGCGTTTCCCCCTGGCTTGATTAGGCTTCTAACTTAGATGGGCTTTTCATACTTACTTCCATGTATGGAACTGGGATCTTTTTCACAGCCTTAGGAACCTTCCTCTAGGAAGCTTTTACTATAGTGGAAAGGCACCTAAAGGTACCTTGTGATGCCTCAGCTGTTTGCTAAATATAGCCTTAAACCAACACCATTCACTTCAACTTAATTTTTTCCACTGAGGCTACTGACAAGAACAGTAGACAGGAATTATGCTACTACCAGCAGGAAGCTATAAGGAAAGACCCATTGCTATGCTATGGATGTGCTTGCATAAAACCTTCCACAATGACACATGAGAGCAGGCTCCTTAATCCCATGACAGAATCAATTTTATGCAGCTGTAAGCCAAAGATAGAATTGCAGGATTCAAGAAGCCTGGAGAGGCAGCTGATGCATTGTGAGAACTGTTTGCTTCTTTTCTGGAAGGAGGAATTCCAAAGCTTGTCAAGAATTCACCCAGCAAATCATGCTATTTCTCCTCAAAAAAAAGATGTTCCACGTGCCACGAACAATTAATTTTCTGATAGCTTCCCAAGCTTCCCCCTCACCTTCTAAGGCTCTTTTTATTTGGTTTTGTTACGGTTTTTGGAACTTTTTTGGCTGATTTAGCTAGTGGAAAAACAGAAAAGTTCAGCAATAGGGAGAGTCTGATTTGCTTTCAAATCAACTGGGAAAATTTACATACAATCCACCATTTAAAACAATGTTTGTCAAAATGTAGAGTTAATCTTCATAAAAAAACCTACAAAAGATACCTTTTGCAAACCAGAAATCTTCTCAGGTTAACACAATAAAGACATTCAGGTTTTAATTTTGCACTTCCTATGTCTTAATTTACTTAATTATTCATCATAAAGTCAACCAGGGATACAAAACAAATAGAAGTTCCTATACATCATAAAATCAGTAATATCACTGATAAGCCCTGGAAAAACAAATTGTGGAATGATGTAGGCTTGAAGGGACTTTATCATCTTGTCCAACTTTCTGCTCAGAAACAGGTTCTTGAACCAGCAATATTAGTCGTAGTAAATTATAACCTAATAGTTCTCACTATTGCTTTAATGATGAGATCAACTACTAGAGTGTTTTAATAGCTAATGACCATAGAGAATGATGCAGAGAATAAGGAGCTTTCAGAAATGACAAAGTAACTGAGAAAACCTCCAAGGAGCAAAGAGAAGAAAGAGTACTCAATTCTTACCTTGCTGAGCTCAATATATTTCTTTGCTTCTCCACTTGCACACGCTACTGATGGTTTTTTACTCAGCAAAGCTGCTTTACATCCTTTGATTTTAAGGGAATGATATGGTGGAACAAGTGATCCAGTTTGTGTCAGTTTGGACTGGAACAATTGATTGATGACTACATTTTCACTGGCTGGGGAAAAAAAAAAGAAGGAATTAATGCATGAAAATAAAATACAGTCTAGAAAATTACATATATATATATATAGTATTTCTAAGTAAAAAGACATACAGTAGGAGATTTAATAAAATAATTTCACCAGCAATCCAAACCACATCATTCTATGATTGTATGGTAAGTAAACTTCAAACAAGTGGACAAACTATTGAACTATTATCTTATTTCAGCTATCAAAGAGCATCCAATACCTAAGGATGTCAGCCACTAGTAACACTGCTTTTAAACATATTTAGGTTCTGTGCTGAACAAAACAGGGTAGAAAACAAAACCTTTCAGACTATGATCTGAACTATGAACTTACTTATATGATAATCACCTCTGAATTTTGCTTCGTTACGGACTCCTAACTTATCCACCTATTAAAGCAATATACGAGATATGTTCTGCACATATTTACCTGATATCATGTATGTAGAGATTATCAGTGCACTTGACAGAAATAAATTATGGACACTCACTAAAACAATATGAGAAGGTATGAAAAAAATAGGCAAGGTGGACAGGACTATAGCAAACTATGTTCATATTTCTCTACATCAAGACTACACTTAGCAACATTTACAGAAAAAAGGCAATGTCACACGTGTTTGATGCAGTGATGATGAGTACAAAAAACACTTACAAAAGGTGTTTTGAAAAATAAAAATCTCATTTTTAAGGCAGATAGCATACTTTATACCAAGTGCAGTCAAATGATCCTTTATGAGATTATGGTCATAGACTTTTTAAGATGAACATGATATGCAATCACATATTGCTTGTACTGCCACAGCACCAATAAGCATTAAAAACCTCTTGTGTGATACATCCTTAAGCATCCTCAATTTTTATCAGTTTTTTAAAAAGAACTTACAAACTGGCATTATGATCACACCCATCATGTGAATTAAACAAATAAAAAATGGAAACAAGAATGGGATAAGCATCATAAATAAAGTAATTAGGTTTAACATAGCAGGTAGAAATCCTCAGTTTGCTTTCTGTTAGCTGCCTAAAGGACTATTACTAGATGCTTAAATACAATAGATTTGTTTCCCTTTTTCTGTGAAGATTACTATTCCTTACTTAACAGGGATAACAACATTACGGGGAAGATAGTAAAGCTGATATTTGAAACAGTTTAAGCACAATCCACTGACATAGTAAACCTCCATATTTTAAAAATATGGATAAATGTAATTAGTAGCATTAGGAAATACATTAAAATTATGTCTTTCAAATTAAAGAAAATAAAACGAATAGTCTCTCCTGATTTATTTTTCAAATAGGTATGTTCCACATTCTTACACATATATGCAAATTAGTTTACTATTGTTAGCATATTTAAAAGTTTTGATTAAGGAAACTAAATTGAATGAAAATTGAGTATGTCTACATAACTTAAGAAACCGAACCAGAAGGAAATATGTCATAGATAATCAATAGGTTTTAAGCCTAAGTCACTTAAAAGAAGAGGGAAGTTAAATGTCTTACATGCTTGCAAATATTCTGCTTTCAGAATTTTTCCAGTAATCATAATTGTTATTATTATGACTTCTTAATTATATATGCACTCACTTTTAGCATATCAAACCTTTTATAACCAATCCAATCCTCCGTTCTTCCCCTTTAACCGTTGCATCCCTGATTACACAGAATAGCAATGAAAGTGCAAAAGGAAACTATGTGAGCAGATGGAAGAATACTCTCTCGTAAAACATGATGAAGTTGCCATAACTTCTTATATTCTGACAGATTATCATGTAAATTCCAATTAGTGAGAACTAGAATGTCTCTAAAACTAGAATCAATAGGATTATATTCAAGATCATTTCCTCCATTCCCATCTCCATCCTTAATGCACACTGTTTGTCTTTGAAATAAATACATTATTTTACTAGGGAGTTTAACTATTTTCACCAAAAAAATTGCTAAAAACCAATACATTGTAATGGTGAGGCTGACTGGGAAGGCAAGTATGACCTCTGAAAGACCTCTGTGTCAATGGAAAAGAAACATAAGTATATAATATATAAAGTGAAAGACTGCAGTGGTTGGAGAAAAGATAAATAACATCTCAGGATACACTGACATTTTTCTGAGAAATGTTATTATTTTTTTTTCCCTTCACAGGAAGGATAAATGATTAAGGTTTTATTTATTGAATTATGAATAATTAATCAATACACTGGGATGCACTATTATTAGGCAAAATTATACACTATGCACATTAAAGGTATTTAATTTTGTATATCATTGCACATTTGTATCGATTCACGGAAAAACATATGAACACCCACAAGTTCCTGTTTTTATAAAACTACTCAAGCAGTGAAGCACATCCCACTACAGTCTCTGATTTTGAGAGCCTTATTTCCTTTGTCTATTTTCTGGGGTTTATTTTTGTTTTAATTCATACATCATGATTTCTTTTAAGTCATACTCATCTATCAGGCTATACCTTCTTTACATCACATCACATCACATAATGAAGGTGCTTTATGTTCATGAATTCAAAAAGCTTTCTAAATGCATATGAGGGTGATTTTTTTTACTAGAAATAAAATATATAAAAATTTATCTTAGAACTAAACTGAAAATAAAGTCATAATATCTTGATTTCTAAGAACAACAGCAACCACAAAAGCATTTACTTACTTTTCATTACAAATACAAGATTTTGTGAAAGGGAATCTTTATTTTTTTCTATTGCACCAGCAACGTCGTAAGTAACCTACAATAAAATATTGTGACATCATTAGTAATGACCAATGTATATTTTAAAAATCTTAAAGCAGTAGAACTGAAACTGTGGGGTTTTTTCCCACTCAGCAATTGAAGGTTGGCACCAGGTAGTGTCTTTCATTCCTTTCACAGTTCTAACAGTATTAACCAGAAGAAGTCGTTGTTGAACATTGTGTGTCTCCACAAGCATACAGAAATTTCATCAGACTGATTCTAAAACATTTCCAGAAGGCAAGACTCTGAATCAAAAGTGCAGTGTAAAGCAGAAGATAGTGACCTAAATATCACTTTCCATGTGAGTCACTCCCAGAACACAGATCTCCTTATCAAAGGGAAACTGTCCACACTGACCATGACAAAACACTCATGGCATAATCTGAGTCCCAGCTCATACTCAATAAAAGTTACAGCCATTTATATGTCCTCTGGAGGCAATTTCAATTTATATGTTTCAATTTATATGTTCAAATCCCATTTACCTTTCTAACAACTACGTACAGAAAGGGTTTGAATCACCTCAGTTGCCCAGTGTCATAATTTCAAGAACAGACAGTTGGGATTGTCACTCCTTCTGACATCTGATTGCAGATCAATGCTAACACATGTGGTGGGCACTCTGAAGAGTGAGCAAAACACAAGGCCCTACCTGGCGCTCCTGAGGGTACCAAAATGAAGAAATATGACCAAGTGGCTGTTTTAACATTGAGCCCATCCCAGGAGACACTGGATAGAAAAGCAGCACTACGACCAAAAAACAGTCACTGAGCCATGGGATTTGCTGGGTTGTTGTTGGGGTTTTTTTTACTTTTTATGGGATGGAAGGCAAACAACTAGTTAGTTTACAGGCTTTAGATATAAACATCTCTGGCTTGCACAGTAGTAGAACCTAAGGGAATTTTTAAATTAAAAAGGAAGAAAATAATAGATCATAGTACCTCCAGGATTAGGCAGACACTTAGTGGGAACTTCTTGGGTTTTATTTACCACGGGAACATGTTTATATCTAAAGCTTCTTTTAAGGTTTGTATTGGGTCTGTATCCTAGGTTCCTTAGATATTTGGGGAAATTTTATCCTTGTATATTTAATTCAGCTTTAAATATACAATTAAGATTAGTAATATTAATCAGTGCATTAATCTTGTTTTCCATTGGGTCATTTGACAATTATGTAATGCTGTCATATATATGAAAGATATTCTATGATTTGGATGTGTATAATCTGTTATAGTTAGTAATTGTCAAATGATATAATTAGTATGGCATCTGACATAGGAAAGGTATAACAGTAGAATTACACTCTTTTCCATGACAGATGCAATGTTATATAATTTTCTAATTGCATCTCCTAAGAACATGTGACATAGTTAGCCAACTATTAAAATAATTTAAGTATACTATTAAATGCTTTTAGTGTACTTAAAGTAAATGTTCTACCATACTGGTCCATAAAAGATAATTAACAGAACTTATTTGACAGATCTATAATACCAGTTCTTAATTGAGTATCTCAGGCTTTGACTAAGTTAGAAGAAGAGGGTGAGTATTGGTGGGGAAAGTAGGTAAGTATAGCAGTGGGAGACACTTCATTAAGATTGAGTGCCCAGATTGAAATAGGGAGAAGTTTTATTACTCATGCTGGTATAATACATCAACATCTTCTAGAACTATATTCATAAGACACCTCTCATACCACATCAAATACATAAAAGTTATCAGGATTCCCTTTTATGAAGAAATTGCTCAAGTTGCTCCTCTAACACTTTTGCCATGGGCTTGGTAAATTAATTCACTGCCTAAAGACATGAAAACAGAGTCAAAGAAATGGCACTTCCATATTCGCTGCCAGTCCCACAAATGAGAACAAGAAAAGAGGTCCTCTTCTAGCTGCCAATTTTGTTAATTTAATACTGGCCTTATCAGAGATATCAACCTACCTAGCACTTTGCCTAAAGCACATATCTTTCTCTCAGTGTTTTTCTACTTGGTTTCTAAAGTAAACCTGGCCAAAACTGCACTGATTGACACTCAAGCACAGTGGGTAGTTGTTCTGAAGAGACAAAAACCAAACAGACATTATATGATTCAGGCAGGAAATGTGCACTCACATCATAGTTCCGGTATTAGAAAACATACTCCTTATTCTCACTTCTATTTATTGCAGCTGTTTGTTCTAACTTGCTTTACCTGATGAACCCTTTGGGACAGACATGCAGTATGCAAACATATGAGTTTCTGTTAAGCAAAGGAAACAAGATCTTTAGATACTATCTGAACTATTTTTATTAAAAGAGAATGTAGTGTGCAGTTCCACATTGCATTATGTTTAATGAAAACAGATTAAAACAAGAAAGGGACAGGATTTTCTTTCCTTCTTGATTTAAGTTCAGAGAGAAAGAGAGCTTAACCTAAGCACAGTGGTAGTGGGGTAGGCTGAATGTTCAGTGGCAAGGAGTTTCATTACTTACCAGCTATGCAAAAAGTTACCTGAATTTATTTCTTTTTAAACCTGTCTGCTGGTCATTTAGGTTGGTATAGCTAGTTCTATTATCATGAGAACTAGCAGATTCAAAGATGAGATAAAAAACCACCCAGAAAACAGGAGGTTCACACACCAATTGTGCACACAGTTAGCTTTGGGAACTGCATATTCCTCTTACCTTCTTACATATTCTTGCCTTTTGATTCTTTAATCATCTTCCTGTCACTCCATTGTAATACTTCTCTCAAAAATTAATATTCTGAATTAAAGTATTCCCTCTCATAATGTCTGACTGTGGTAAAGGGCTTTATTTGCTTTCCTAATATACTTTATCAATGGGCCACCTTTACATATACTTTTCATCAATTCCTTCTAATACTCTATGTTGTAAATAGTTTTCGTATCTTGTGATAGGCCAAAAGCAATCATGTTTAGTGGCAGATCCAGCAGGAAGCCTAAAACAAGCTAGGAAAGTGCCCCTGGAATGTTGATTTGATTGATTTGGCTGCACTCGCAGTGAAAAGGGGAAAAAAATTACTATATTCATAACAAAATGTAACTCAGAAACTCATAGTTTTGCATATGTTGCTAAATTTAGTTAATATGAGAACAATTAGTTAGTGTAGTTAAAACAAATTTTTGAGAACATGTCCAAGGACAATTTCAGTGCACAGAGGGTCACTTTAGTTATTAATTTTATGCCAGTACTTAAATGTGAGTGATATAATTTGAAAGCTTGAATGTACCATTTTTTTAGGGTCACTGGGCTTCACACCCTCTCCAACCAATATCTTGTTAAGCAATGACTGAAGTTAACAATTTTATATAATCTGTGTATTATAACACTGTGATAGAAATATTAGCATATTGAATCCAGAAGATATTTAGAAACAAAACAGGAAGGTGAGGGGAAGTGTTCTATTATTTGTCCCTGTAAGTGGAAGTCCAAAATAAAGTCTAATTAAAGAAAGAAAAAGAGATAGGGAGAAAAAACACAACTATCCTGTTGGTGTGAAAAAGCAAATCTTTGTCAAGCAACCTTTATAGGCTTTGGTATGGCTTAGACTAGGCTGATTTAATTGTTATGTCTGCGGATTCAGCCTGGGGAAAAAAAAAAAAGAGAGAAAATGAAAGCATCCTTATTGATTAATCCATTTCCTTTTGTCTTTTGCTGTAGAGGTTCAGTTTCAGAATCTGCCTGGGATATATAAGGCATTTCAGACAAGACTGTCTTGGTGAGGTGAGCTGACAGCTGAGGGGTATTTTTGAAATGCACACAGCTGAGAAATGGAACAAACCTTGATCTGCACTTAAAGGACATTATATGCACAGGTTTATAGAGCAAAGAAGTTGGTCTTTAGGCTTGATCAGTCTATTACAGTACTGTAAGTCAAAACAGCGGCAAGGCAAACAGCAACAAGAAGCTTATCTGATTTGTAAATTCAAGCACAACTTTAAAATTCAAGTATAAAATAAAAAAGCTTAAATTATGGTGACATTCTTCAGATTAAATGAACAATGAGCAACTAGATCATTGTCTTGAACACTGGTGTGTTAAATATGATTGTTAGGTAAAGCTCTCTCTCTTGGCATTGTGCTAAGACAATGTATTTATTATTTACTTATTGATATATTAATTCTCATATAAAATTAAAAAAAAGAACTTTTGAGTCCTCGAGAAAGTTAATGATGGAATGCTATTCTTCAAAGATCTTCAAAGATCTATCAGTAAGTCTGAAAGTTCAGAGATATAAGTCATGTAAAACCCTTCCTTACAGGAGAGCCCATAATGTAAATATTAATGTTACCAGGAAAAGTATCTAGAAATCCAGTATTACAGAGTCTCAGCATAGTTTCAGCTGCTGGTCAGATGCATTGATCAACTGCATCCATAAGACACTTGGCTTCCTGCAGGGAAGATTGCAGTGTGCAGCATGGACTCACTGTGCCTCTCCTCGCACGGTGCTGCCAGGCAGACACAGCCTCTGTGAGAAGCAGCTGAGAATACCCATCTTCATGTGAGGCATCAGAAACAAAGCAATGCCTCAGATGCACACATTTTTTCCAGCAGAGATCAGACTGCCAGTGTTCAGGGAAATGTGTTAAACAACCTTCAGATAAAGCTTCCCCAAGGTGGGGGTTTTTTCAGTCACACAAAACTGAAATAATTCTTTTCTACTTTCTGCCTGAACAGAACAGATAAGCTTTTTGTCTTACAGCATTCAGATATCAAGACATTAAATAACTCCTAAAAGAGACTCATAATGTGTCAAAGCATTGTAGGATTCTGTTCAGCTGCAAAATTAAAACTGGGAGATAAAGTAAAATACTTGATCTGATCAAGTACTAATGTTCTCAGTGCCCTTTGCTGAACATGTGTTCATATAGTTAACAACTGTATCACATCATTCATGCAGAAAAAGACAAACTAAGTGTTGTGCAGACGTAATAATAAAATTTAAAAGAAACTAATAAAAAGTTGTTTTATTTCTTCCAAAGGATCATTCTGTCACATTTGGGTAATACATTGTTCTGTCAGCCTCCGCAGAAAAATCTCACCATGTCTTGTTTTTTTCTATGCACAGAAGCTTATTTGTGCATTTTTTCCCCTCTTTTATCCCACTTTCTTAATTCCAAACCAGTAAAAAAATTAGGAAAAAAACCAAAAGTCTTTCAAAATGGCACCACACATACAGATTTTCTTAAAGCATTGTTTTTCAAGTAAAGATTCAAAATTCTTCAAGATTTTTTTCCCTAACACATTACCCTAAGCCTCTTCCTCCCATACACCTTCTTAGGCTCACTTTGACCTCATGTTCTCTATTTTTCATTCCTGAGCTGTTATCTCTTCTCTTTTCTCCCAGTACTGCCTTTTCTGTAATGGCCTAAAGCTCATTAGGGTTGGAACAACAATGTGTTGTCCCAGGAAAACCTACTGAGCATAAAACATAAGGGAATGGGCAATGCCTGACAATGGATGACTACAATCAATCAAAAATACTTCATACTGGAAGAAAAGATCATTTTCCTATTACAATCCTGACATAAAACATTAAGATATGAACATGTTAGAGGTCTTTGAAACTGCATGGACACATCTGTATCAGACGTAATCCTCTCATAATCCTCTCTATTTCATAATAGAGATATCAGGTTTGTTGACAAAAAGCTGTCTGTCAATCTCAATTAAATTTATAGAAGAGGTCTCTTCAGTGAGGCAGTGTTTTTGATTGCTGCATTTTCCAGTATAACTGCACTTACGAGCTGCTAAAATAGGTCTGAGACAGGAACACAATTATTTCTGGACTTTGAGCTACATACATTAACTATGGATGAAAAAGACCGCAAATCACAAGAGTCCATAGGAGATTCATTCTGGGGTCAACACAGAATATTAGTGCTTTTTTTTCCTGTAGATGTCTTGGAGTAGCAGCTGTTTCAGGTTGGCTACAAACTACACTGCAGTTAGAACTTTTGTTACTTAAGAGAAATCAGGCTGTCTGCCTTCACCTTCTGTATAACACAGAGCCTGCATTCAGTGTGACTTCCTCCACAAACACCAGCCTAGACACACCACTGGAATATAAATGCTTAAGCCTAGAAGTGAAAAATTTCATATTCAATTACTTGTCTGTCACATTTTACGGGTAATTCTTTTCCTACCTTCTGGGCTGATTCACCTTTCACTTATGTAAATAACAAGAAGCTTTACCAAATTAAAGGAGTTACAATGAGTGAAAAAAATGTGGTAAGTAAGAATAAAATCAAGCCTTCTTGTTTTAAATTTGGGGATCTCTGAAGGTAATGGCACAGAGAAAGACTTTGTACTTCACTTACTTTAGACTAATTTAATTGATATCAGACTATAAAAATGGCTCCCAAAAGCTGCCAAACTACACTCTTATTTTATATATGAAATTCTTACTTTTGGGTGCCAATAAAACCTGATGTATTTAAAATACTGGTCCTTAACAATTTTCATAAAGCATAAATCAAAAATTACTTTTATAAAAAGCTCCTAAATGTAGTAAGTAATAGCACAATCTAAAGAACAGCATCAGCATTCTTAAAATGCCAGTTTCTATTCAACTTATCAACTTATGAAGACTTATTAGTTTGAGAACAGACTCAATTTGTATAATTATTTAGTATAGTAATGCTGTTATTAGATTTTATGGAAATACGTATCATAAATCACTGGAAATGTCAATCTATGATAGCTAGCTAACAATTCCACGAGATATCAAAAATGCAAGTGCCTTTAAGGATTTTGCTCAGTCAGTATTAAAGTTAGGAGTGTTAAGCACTTGCACAGGAACATTTCTGTTTTGGCAAGGACAAGCATTTTACTGCCATAAGGATGCAAAAAACAACCTGACTGTCTGGAATATTTCCTTGGCCAATGTAAATCAAAGGATCTCCATTGACTTCAAAAGAATGTGTGAATTTACATTACTTGGAGAGTTGTCTATTTGTTCATACTTTTAGATTAAATGTCACTACTATTATTAGGAAAAGGTCAAATCAAGTGTCTATGTTACAAAAAAAAAAAACCAACCTTAGTAACCATGCAGGATAAAACACATGTTAATGAAAAGTGTACCAGCTACAAATCTCAGTTTAACTTTCATGACTGGGCATCTGAAACTCTGTTCTTAAAAAATGTTCCTAAAGAGTGCTTCTTCTGAGAGTAAGACAAACTTTTTTTCATTTTAAAGAATTTTTTTTTAACATTCTGGTTGTGATTTTAATGCAGCTGCCTTGCTGCTTCTGTCATGTCAGATTTTTGGCGTGTGGAACCTTTTAAAGCTATCGTGATAAATTTGTATAATCATAGCAGAACTCCATGAAAAACATATTTACCTAACAAATATAAAACAGATTTATAAACTTATTAAGACATCTGGAGTTTTTTGTCTGTTCTTAACTCTATCACTTTAAGTGCTAATAAGTTTTACAAAATCTTTGTTGTGCAGTTATCTAACCACTGAGTGACCTCATGCCTACTGAGAAGTCCCAACAGTAAAGGCATTCAAACTACTTAACTTTGGCAAATAATTCAAGTCTAAGTAGAAAGCCATATGATGAAAGAAAAGCCTCCAGGGAGTTATTAAAAGTATTTAGGTTAGGAATTTAAGCACTACCCAAACAGTCTCAATCCTTTCCATAATGACCACATTTCTATCATTGGGCAGGAATAAATTTGCCTGCATCAGAACACTACTCAACACTTCCACTGACTTAATTTCCAAATGAGGAGTCACAAAATAGCCCTTGCCCCATTTTTATTGCTGTAAAGGACCCCAATCTGGTAAAAGAAGCCTAAGTGTGCACATTCCAACCTCTCATCTGTTCTAGTGAGCTCAGGGCTCTCATTATATAATGTTACCTTGAGATATGAGAGAGCCAGCAAGCTTTTTTTTTGGTGACCTGGAGGCAAGTCTTGAACATGGCTCATAAGAGTATGCACTATCAATAAGCTGACTGACTGGGTGCATAAATCTGTTCTACCTAAAATATTAATCATAGCAGAAAGCACATCATCCATTCCCTTTAGGAGCATGAGTTAGAGCTATTTTTCTGGTGTTTTTTTGTTTTTGTTTTCTGATTTTTTTTGGTTTTTTAGCAGCATATCAGATAAACCCTTTGAATTTGCTACTCAGAAAATCACGTGAGGGAAGGTTGCTCTAATTACCTCTCACAATAAGCAGCAGCAAAGCTATTACAATTCCTTTATAACTGCAATATGCATTCTAATCAAAAGACTTGATCGCAGCTGCCCAATTTCTTGCTCTTTGAACTCATGTCTTCTGTCTGTTACTTAGGTAAAGAGAGGAGCATCCAGGTGTTGGCTGTCTGGTTATAGTAAAGCACCTGCAGTTTCCACACATCTTCCTCGGAGGGTTCTGCAGTATCAGGCGAGTATCACATGCTGCCATTAAATCCTGAAAAAGCCAGGTCCTGCCTCACAGCAGGCTTTACTGAGATTTGAGGTTTAAAGTGACCTGCTAAGTGAAGTCATCCACTAACAAGACTCACAGTTATATTTATAAACAGCACAGTGCATCTCATCATGAAGCAGTGGTTCCAAGGGCACAGTAGCTAAACAGCTTCTAAATGTGCTACGAACAAAGATTTTATGGGACTCCATCAATGGATGGACAGCTCATGGAATCACCTGTGTAAGACTTAGAAAGTGTGAAAGGACACAGAACAAGCTGTTCAGATGTAAATTGATTGCTGCAGCCTTCAGTCTAGGTTGTCACCTGATGTCAGTGGACATCTTGGGAGAGTAATAACTGAGAGACCCCATTGAATTGTGCCTATACAGTCTACATTCATTAGCTCATTTAAAATACCATGCTTTGAACAGAGAGAAGAGGCAACATGTCAGATGAATCACAAAGAGGTCAATACGTCAGATTCTCTAAACAAAATTACGATCCCCTTAAATGCAGACCTGTTTTGCTTGCTGTAGGCTCCAGGTAGTAGAGGAGACAATGTGAAAATATTGGAAGTATTGGAAAATATTGGAGTATTGGAAAGAAAGGGTAAGAGGCCTGTAGGGAGTATTGGAAAGAAAGGGTAAGAGGCCTGTTTAAAAGAAATGATAATGCTTTTCCCATGAACATTGCAGGAAAGGAAATGCAAAACATGCTGGTTTACAGCCATATTTAGAGACATGCAGCGTGTTCTGGGATTTTGAAGAAACAGAGGAAAAAAAATATTTTTATTATGATTGGTAACAGAAAAAAGTGTGGTTTTAGGGTTTTGTTTGTTTGTGTTTACCAGATGCATGCTGGTATACAAAGTATCTATATATATGGCAGAGAATCTACAGGGAACCTGTACTGTGCTGGAACAACATCTGAAAACAAAGTGGCAGGTAACTAAAATGGTATTAAATATTTATGCTGAGGTATCTGAATCACCCCCTCCTTCATTAAGTGCTTACAACAAAGATAAAAATTAAGAGCCAGAATTAGGTAGCTTGACTATTGTACAACATGATATAAACTACAGATTTCACACACTAGATACTGCACTGAGATTCTAAGCTGTGCCCCAAAAATTCATTAGTAGAAAGTGAATTGTTATTTATAGCCAGGAGTTGGAGAAGCTGTGCGGAATTTTTTGTTTACTCTTTTTCATTAAGTCTGTGTAACCAATCATTCAAACAACTCACCCTCCCAGCATAATGCATAACAGTGAAGGTGGAGCCCTGATCCTTTGGGGCAAGGTTACCATTTCCATCTTTTGTGGAGGAATAGACTGTATTTGTATCTAATGTATCCAGGTAAGACTGAATACGCTTAGACAGACTCTGTTCCACTGACCAAATAGATTGACTTTCTTCATCCAGTATTGACAAAAAGCCTGATGGTTTCTGAAATAAAAAATAAATTTTTCTCATTTTATACAGGAGCAATAGAATGTCAGTTGTTCGTTGTAGAGTAATACAGCTTTTAATTTAGTAAACAGAAACATGTATCACCTCAAAGAAAAGAAAACATGGTTACATATTATGGTAACTCTCCAAGACTATGCACATCCAATAATTCTGCAAGAAACCTAGAGAATAATATTTAACTTGCCAAAAAAAATGGTAACTATTGCTCATCTTTCAGTAAACTGATTGGGCAAATTCCTTCTTAGAAGTTATACTTCAGAAACTAGTCCCAGGAACAAAAGAAACTGTCAGGCTTACAACAGAGACTTGGCTGCCTTACAGATGCGTTAAGGATATGGCACGATACACACATGCTATGTGTGAATCACTATGGGCAAGGAGTTTCTGTAACATCTTTTTCAACCCTGCACTGTTACAAATCTCTGTTAGCCCTCAATCTGTGAGGTCCGTTATGACAGCTCTCTCTAAGATCTCTCTGGATGCATAACCTTCTCTATAGTTTTATAAATCAGAAAATGCAGGCAAAAGTTTGTATTAGTCTAACATGCAGAGGCTGTGTATAAATACACATGGCATAAAATGGATATGAAATCTACCTGAAAGAAAAAATCCAAGGCTGCAGTATGGTTACCAGCAGAATACACCGTTTCCATGGTAACTCCCTCTTGTACACATTCTGCTTGCTCTTGTAGGAAAAGCACTTCATTGATATATTGGTGTATCTTCTCATTGGTCATGTTGACACACAGCTATTGTAAGACCAAAAAAAACGACAAGTATTAGAAGTTTACTGCATAATTCATGGGTGTAGGTTTTACTGCACGCCTGATAGAGAATTTGATGAAATGTCAATCCACAACATGTTCTCTCTCAGTAGACCATAGATTAGCAAGACCCTGGGGAAATTTACATTTTAACGGCTATTAGTATTAAATTGGGAATAAACAGATTTCTGCCAGAACAGCTCATTGTGAATTTCTCGTAAGAATCATCAAATACCAGCATTGTCAAATATAGTGCAAATTTACATTAATTCCACCGATTGAAGTGGGGAAACTCTATATGTAAATTGTTGCACTTGATATTTTTCTACAGTTTACATTGAGGAAGACTACACAGATGCAATGTGCTTTTAGAAATAAAGTCTACATAGTTGGTAAAAATCCTGACTGTGTAGTTAGGTCAGCTTTAACTGGGACTGATGTTGTTCATCATCTTTGTCAGTGACACAGACAGTGTAACTGAGTGCATCCTCAGCAAGTTTGCTGACAACACCAAACTGTGTGGAGCAGTTGACATGCTTGACGAAAGAGATGCCATCCAGAGGGACCCTGACAGACTTGAGAGGTGGGCCCATGCCAACCTCATAAAGTTCAATAAGGCCAAGTGCAAAGTCCTGCACCTGGGTGGGGCAATCCCAAGCACAACTACAGGTTGAGTGGACAATGAACTGAGAGCAGCCCTGAGAAGAAGGACTTAGGAGTGTTGTTGATGAGAAACTCAACATGAGCCAGCAATGTGCGCTTGCAGCCCAGAAAGCCAACTGTATCCTGGGCTGCATCAGAAGAAGCATGGCCAGCAGGTCGAGGGAGGTGATTCTGCCCCTCCAATCCACTTTTTTGAGATGCCACGTGGAGTACTGGCTCCAGTTCTGGGGTCACCAAAACAAAACGACATGGAGCTCTTGGGGCAAGTGCAGAGAAGGACCACAGAGATGATCAGAGGCCTGGAGCACCTCTCCTATGAAGACAGGCTGCGAGGGTTGGGGCTGTTCCACTTGGAGAAGGCTCTGGGGAGACCTTAGAGCATCCTTCCAGTACCTGAAGGGGCCTACAGGAAAGCTGGGGAGGGACTTTTTGCAAGGGCTTGTAGGGACAGGTAATGGCTTTTACCTGGAAGAGGGGAAATTTAGGTTAGATATAAGCAAGAAATTCTTTAGTGTGAGGGTGGTGAGACACTGGAACAGGTTGTCCAGGGACATTGTGATTGCCCCTTCCCTGGAAGTGATCAAGGCCAGGTTGGATGCGTCTTCGAGCAACTTGGTCTACCTGCTCATGGCAGGGCAGTTGGAACTAGATGGTTTTAAGGTCCCTCCCAACCCAATTCTATTATTCTATAAAATAATATAATAGCCTCTGAAATATATTCCATGATTGCCTTATAAGAGGACCAGTGCCACTTTTGCAAAATACATACTTAAATAGGGATCTGATTTTCAAATAAAAATAGGTGGGAGTTGTATCAGCTTATTTTGGGACCCTTTGTATTTTTATTCAAAGTACCCAATCTGCAAAAAATACATATTTAATAACTTTGTGGCTTATTTTTAAACTGTTTTATTTATTTTGAAGTGAGTAATTCTAAAATCTCCTCCAACATTATAACTATCACTAAGAATTTAAGAAAATATAAACTCCTAAAAGGCGCAGAAGAACCCTTTATATAATGAATGATGCAAGGAATGCTTGCATGCAGTTTATTTTCAGGCTGAGCTAGTCACATATTTGTTTGGGCCATAAACTATATCTTCCATGAATAAAGTGTGTAAAAGAATTCCAACAAGTCATACTAAAAAACCCCAAAATGTTTAGATCGATCCTTAAAGTACGTGGCTTAACATCCAGCTGAGTGGAAAGAACCCAAGTAATGTATAACAGTTGCCTGAATTTCACATTAACACCTCATGGCAGTATAGTCAACTTGCACTTGCTATTCAATGAAACAGAGCAGTGTGAAAAACAGTCAAAAGAAATAAAACAAACCCCCATTTTATAACCAAATGTCTGTTATTAACCATCTTTACCAACACATGGTAGTGCAGACAAAAGATAACCTTGACTAAAACCAATGTTTTTTTGAGTGGTATTTGTAAAGATTCAGATTGTTATCTCATTTTATTAACAGAATATGCAATGGACTTGCAATGACTACGTATCTTATGGAAAAAGACTTTTTTTAATTTTGTGGCAGGCAAAATATGCTTTACTGATCACTTTTTGAGTTTAATTCTAATTACAAAACATTTTCAGGAGTTTGTTAACATTATTTCAGAAGTCAAACATAACATTACAAGCTTATACTTCAATGGATATGTAAAGTCTTAAAATTATGCATGCTGTGTATAACTTTATTTGTAAATGAGTTATGTACAGAACCACATTTTTTAACTTTTACAGGTAGATTTTATCATAAGAAGAACTGACAAAATCACTATGAACTCAAGCTTACTTTTTATCACGTGTCAATCTCCTAGCACACATCAAAACAATAACTGTACTTGAGGACCTGACAGTGCAGCAAAATTATTGAACTGCAGAAGTCAAGCCAAAGGGAAACACTGTCTTAATCATATCTTATAAAGAACTGATAAATAGTATTGGTTTTAAGCAATACCATCATTTAGGTTGGCAGATTTGCCATAATGACAGTAAGGTTCTGCAAACCAGATCAGAAAGCAAGCTCAGGCTCTTCAGCAAGCTGCAAACTGCTCCAAAGCTGCTGTCTCTAGCAGTAGCTGTGAGTCACAGCTCTGCAGAATGAGAACCAGGAGACCAGCCAGGGACTGCTGAAGAGCAAGACATTCTGATCATGTCTTTCTCCATTTATACAATCTACTGGGGAAAGGTAATAAAATGAATGTTTCAAATTAAAAGCCTGACACAGGCTGACATAATAATTAAAGGAGCTGAAATGTAGAAATTAGATGAAAATGAACTAAACTAGCTTTGCAAACCTAACTTCTTTTTGCTGTTTCATAGGACGTATTATATAAAATGACATATTTTCAGGCCAAAGATATGAAATGTTCAGAAAACTTCATTTTTTGAACATGTATTTAATTGCACCCATGAAAACTAGATTAAAATATGGTAGAAAGAAAAGAAAACAATGAAATTTTTACCTAAAACAAATGTTGTAGGAATACCCTTAAGCACTGTATATTTGCTTTAGTCAATATTACCTATGGTATTTCCTCATTAAATATTGTTAAACTGTACTTTACATACCTCTTATTAGCTCGGAGTACGTCTTTTCTGTAAGAAATCCTCCTTTCTGTCTGTCTTCCTTTCTAATCCTAATTCCCTATCATGCCCAGTGAAAACAGACACACCATCTATTTGTCTATGTCTTCATTAAAAACTACGTCTAGAACACTATTAGAATAAAAAAAAAATCGTTAAAGTATTTAAACAAATAACACACAGTATCATCTGAATTGTAGGATTTGGAAAATAATAAAGTGGCGTTTGGTAAAAGCAATAAGTATTCATCACATTAAACAGCTTGATCTCTCTTCCTTTTAGTACATTGGACCAGTTAGTACTATTAAGTATAACCCAAATTCTAATTTAGGTAGAATATCAAAATTGTACTGTACTCCAAAGACTAAGGAACTTTTCCTGCTCTTCACTTTATATAAGTAAGTATTAGGAAAGGCATAGCAAAAAAGGAAATTTGTGAAAAAATTTGGTGACTGTCAATCAGTGAGGGAATTAGGGATGTAAACACCCTTTGGAAAGATCTTTTACATTCTTTGGTCATGCAGAAAGATTAGCTGTCTCAAGGGATGCACATTCAGAGCATGGAGTAAAGCTTACAGCTGTCATATCAACAAATCTATCAAGCCATACGTTATGGGCCAAGATGATGCAGCTACAATGCCAAGTTTAATTTGCAAGGTTGTGCTCTAGCATTTCTCAAAAATGTAACTCTAAGATAGTGGAAAGCAGAGTCATCTTCTATTTGCTGAGGTTGGACTTAGAAAACATTTGCAACCTAAGGTTGATAATCACTTCTTTCTTAGAAGTATCGTCATCACTGTTCCCCCTTGTATCTGCTACCCAAATACTTCCGCATTCTTTTTTTTATGTAGAGTACCAAAAAGAATATTATTAATGAATGTGTAACAAACCCAGAACCCATAACATTTCTTCCTTTGCCTTACAGGGGCAACAAGATCCAGTAGAATTTCCTTGATTTCTATGGACCTCCAGTATAAAGTCAAACATTGTCCTTCTGCATCTCTGTCAGATGAACTTAATTTCACAGGGAAATCATGTCAGTTGCCATTAGCTAATCTGTGTTCCTCAAATAACATAAAACAGAACCCAGTGCTATATTAAAATTTGGGTAGCTGTCACCCAAAAAGCTTTCCACAAAGAAGGGTCTGAAAACTCCCTCTAATAGGAATCCAATTTCAAAACAAAGTGGAATAGTCCCCCACTTGAATTTGTACATATAAAATTATTAAACAAACAAACAAACAGCAGACTTCTTTCCCTTACAGAATTAGGAATTAAAGGTACTGAAACAGTTCAGAATAATTTTTTTGCTCATACTGCTGGCCAGCAACTAAGTACTGGGGGACAAAAGAGGTTGCTGCTGTGGAAATGCCACAGTAAATGCAGTAAATGCTGCTGTGGGTGCTGCAGTAAAATACTAGTTAATAAATGCCTTTGTACAGCATTTCAACAATCAAGCACAAGCTGTATCTAACTGGAATCTCAGTTTAAGATAAATGTCTTTGCTGTTTTTTTAAAATTATTTATTTGATTTTATCTGATTTCATTTTTGTTTTTGTTTTCCACAAAGTGTCTACTGTAAAAGAATATAGAAAAAGAAAATATTTTAATGCCAGGTACATGATAAGCCAACTTTAACACTGAGTAAAGCTGGCTTTCTAGTGGCTGACTGCAACACTGGGAAGATTATATGGAAAAAAGAAAAAGTGTGCAGACCAGGAAAATAGACCAAAGAGACTGAGAGGGAACAGGGGTACAGCATGACAAGAACCATACAAACTGTAAGATCCAAAGTAATAGGGTCAAGAAACAAAATAAAACACAGGATCACCAGCCCCCTGAGGGCAGGAATAGGCTTTTAGAGCTCCAGTCAGCTGCATTCAAGTCCCTACTTCATATTAGGGCTCAGTGTCCAACAGCAGCCACCTATTCCATAGGCTAGTACAGAGGAAAGCAGGACCATTTGCCTATGCTGTGGACAGACAAAACCAAAGAAGGCTGATTTCTACTCCATAAAATAAAAAAGAAAAATATTGGAATGCTCCTTCATACTCTCTGAATGCAGATGCTAATTTGTGTGACCTCCCATTTGCCATCACTGAGACTGTAATGACTGTAGAAAAGTTATGCAGTTTTTATCTGTTCATGCATCCACAAAAGAGGCAACATGAGCTTACATTTGGATAGCTAGAAGAGCTCTCATGGCTGAGGCAATTAGATTTAATAAAAAATATTCTGTTATGTCTGTTTAGTCTAGGAAAGCTTACATGAAAAAAATTAAATGAGGTCTCAGAAGGGTTAACTAAGGAAATAATACACAAGGAAGTCAAAACCTACCACATCTAATAATAAAAATAGGTGAAAATTCCTGGGAGTGCAGCTGGGTCATTCAAGCTCTTCTGCTTCACCACAGTGACTCAGAAGTGAAGTCTTGAGCGGGGCAGGCAATGTTCTGGGCTTTGGGAGCCAGCTGGCTCCTACTGTGGGAGATATACTGCATGGAGCTGCCACAGGAGCCATGCCTCTCCCAGCCCTCTACTGCACCACATAGATAATGTAGACATAATTTAATGGGTACAGAGTTGAATGGGAGTCAAGAGGCACTTGACTGTTTCAGTGACCTGCTGTCCTAATTCAGATAAATAACTTACATTTCCAGAAAAAGGAGGAGACACACACACACACACACATATGTATACACACACACACATTTGTATATACTTTTCTCTGCAAAACTTGAGAGGTCTACAGAGACAAAACACCATGCAAGAGCTAAACATGTTATTTAGCAAGAGGCAAATATTTTTTTCAGTTTATCATTTTAATTAGACAGAAAAGACTACTGGAGACCATTTTATTTAGCTGCATGATTGCTCTTTATGAAGCTTCCACAAAGACCTGATTTTCTGCAGCAGTAAGAAAAGCTACTCTTGCTACTCTAAGGTCTGGTTCTTCTGCTATAATATAGTTTTCTCAGAAGCAATAGTAGGTACTAATGGTACAGACAGTTAACTCTATCAAGCTTTCCTTCTGCTTTTCACTTGTGCTCATTGGCCAGGAGTTTTTTACATTTGTGTTGCATGCTCTTCTGGTCAAAGAATATAGTAGCATAAAATTACAAAGAAGATAAGAGCATTCCTTGAATGTACTATTAGGAGCTGAGCTGTGAAAGAACACTGAGTACAACAGAACACAGATTTAAACTCTACCAGAAGAGAAGCGGACATTTTCTACTTTTAAAGGAGTACAAATAAAACTGTAACCAAATATAGTCTCTCTCGGACAAGGAAACCTAAGAAAACATTGAAAACTAACACTGAAAACTGCCATTGCTGTTTTTGGTAGAGCACCTGTATTTCCTGAAATAATCACAAAATTAAGGCCATTTCTGTATGGAAAAGTACACACAAATCTGTGCTCACTGACTATACTCTAGTGTGGCTGTAGAAAAAGCTGTTCTGGCACAGCAAGTATACAGCTGCTCTATGAAAATGCTGTTCCCAATGTAATGATCACTGCTAGAAAGTGATTGTAAATGGTAATTGAGGTGAGCTAGAAGTGTGCTGTAGTCATTTACCATGGCTTAGGTTATGAGCAGTAACTCACTGAGTCTTGGTAATTGAGAAGCTTTCAGTCTTTATCGAGCAATGACTCCACCACTCAGTATTGCTTATTCCATACGCTTATTTACACCTATTTTATAATTCCATGTCCTATTTCTGCTATTATAATGTATCAAACTTATGTTTGGTACATTATAATATAATAGGAAGGCTGAAGGCTCACAGATGCTCACGAAATACAAGGAAAGCTGAACATTTAATTAGTACTGTTTTTCACTTCTAATGCCGCCTTCTTTGTAATTGCGCATAAAACTTTTCCCATTGCAAGCTGTCAGTCACATCATTTTGCCTGTAGAAGTTACCAGATTCTTGGTGTAGACATAATTAACCTTTATTTCCCAGTTCTTTGACATCTATTGTCCTATGCATTGTTCATAGACTGTTCTTAGACCAATTTTTTGTTTGCCTTTGACATTTTAATACTCTAATGCCTTGTCATTCCAACACACTCACTGGAGTGAACAAGTTATTCTACCTGTTTTATCCAGCTGTCTCTTCCTGAACTGTCTTCAAACACAACCTATTAAAATTAATTGCTTAAATTGACATGTGATTTAGTATCATCTCTCTCTTAATTATGATATTAAACTGTCTATCAACTGACCTGGTTTGAAGCATCAGAAAGATTCTTGAAATGTCCCCAGGTCTTGGAAATCAGAAGGTTTTAATCTTTCTTGAAAACAATTATAATCTTTTTTTTCAAGAAAGCAGGCAAACTGCTATCACCCAGAATGCTCTGTCTTACACTAATTTGTAACAAAAGGTTCATTTTCCCCAAATTGCTTTTTAAATGCCGTATTTAAATATGTTAATCTAAATGTGATGAAAAGGCAATTTTTATAGCTCCTCCAGTGTTTGGCTGTAACATTCAATGTTAACTTTCTGCAATCACAGGCCTTGACACTGGGCATGCTTGCAGAAATGATGCAGTGTTTTGCATGAGGACCCTATCTCTGCTAATAAGCCTGTTTATCATCAGGGTTAAGGAGCCCAGGCAGAATACTGAACCAGTCTAGACTGCGAGACAGCTCGAGCTTTCGAGTGAAGGCTGCATTGGGTATGGCTGCATGATTACCTGGTGCCATGTGGAGATACAAATTGCTTCTCTTAATGGACACTACAGCCACTCACTTCAGGAATCAGACATGTTAATCACATGATAGAGTTAATATAAAAACAAACTTTGTAATTCCCTCCCCTCTACTCTTTCTTCTCAGGAAAGCAGTTCAGTAGTTTCTGAGGTAATGACTCAGTATTACTCAACTGAACAAAACCCATTCAGTCCAGGTGGAGTAAATGCCTCTTGAAATACATTTACTTAGAAAAAATAAAATAAAAATGCAAAGTTGACTTTGAAACTATCATGTTTACAACACAGAAATAATACAATAAATTTTTTTTACTAATTTTTCTTTATGTCTCAGATTTTATCTTCAAGCATCCTCCTCAGCCACTAAGATGAAAATGACAGAAACTGAAATTCATAGTATTTCATGTCAGTTACGGAACCTATAAAAGTTTCATGACAAAAAATAATGCAGAACAGAGTAAAAAAAATCAACAAAGCCAGTAAGTACCAAGATGCACCCCTCTGTTTTGAGATGAATTTAAAATGCATAGAATACTTTATCCTTATTAATCAGTAGATTTTATGGATTTTTTTTTATTTTTTTTTTTGCATATATTCAGTCTGTGTTAAAATGCTTTTATTTTTTCACTTGGCAATTTTCCTCAAATCAGACATTCATACTGAGTAAATGACTGTAAATATTGGCACACACCACTAGTCCCTAACCCAGCAAATGTTGAAGCAAGGTAGAACTGCAAACACAGTTTTGTGAGAGGGGAACTGGAGTAAGTTTTATTGCATTCTTACATGCCTTTTTGAAGGTGGAGGTAAACTCAACCTGTTTGTGCTTTCAAACATCTGGAAACTGGGTGCCAATGTAAATATGAAACATGAACTGAACTAAGGTGGCTCTATCACTTCTTTTTAACTATAGAGAGAAAGTTGAGCCATACAACAATGGATTGACTGGGATGAAGGTGCAAATTTTGATTGCAAACAATAACAGGCCCTTTGTTGCTGCTGATGCCATCTTTGTTATTTTCTGTGCTTTGATTTTCTATTCTATGCTTTGATTTCCTTCTGCTGCATTACTGAATGAATGAACTACTGAACAATAACATAGAGTTCTCTTTCTGTGTGTTGTGTGGAGTTGCTAATACTTTGTGAAATACGTAATTCACAAGAGCTTTGGTGTTCAGAGACCAATGTTGAAGGTGGGCAAACAGTTCCATAATTTTCAAAAAATGTTTGATATTCAAATGGATTTTTATTAATACAGTGAGCTAAAGTTTGATTTATTTTCCATGTATCAAATTAACATATTTTAAATGTTATATGTTGTAAAGTCACACATAGGTGAATCTGCCAGTAATGGCACTTAACATAATGTAGAATTATAATTCTATTTTTCCTCCAAGATCTTTTTGATCTTTCTTCCAAACCAGTGTAGCGTCCTCCTACTCACTGACCCAGCTGAAGTTTCACTTCCACAAGCATGAAAACAGATGACACTAAATATTTTCCTTAGCTTGTCTTTTGGTGCTGATACTACCACTCTTCCAAATAATTATGGTAGATGTTTACTAGGTTATCTTAAAATGCTGAATAACTGTATAAAGCTGGGGTTTTAATTTACACACAGATAGGCAAAATGGTAAAAAAAAAAATTCAAGGGCCAATTTTTGCCTCCACCTATGTTTATATTCTGATCAAAACACTAATTTTGCTTAAACCCCAAAGCTTTAATAGAAGAATTAACTACCACAGTAAATTGAGCAAAATGTAGCCACTTACCTGCTCAAAAGTATTCTTTTGAAATTCTTCAAATCCAAAAATATCCAGTATTCCAATTTCAAATACCTGGTCACTAGGGAAGAAAAAGATATTACAGATAATAAGAATTCAAGCAAGTGAATAATGTAGCTGTTGTTTCTGACAGAAGGATATCAGTACTAGAATGAAAGCAGACTGTATTTCACAGAATCATTCTGGTTTGAAAAAAACCTTTAAGATCATTGAGTTCAACCAGTGCACAATACACAAGCAGATCATGCATACAACAAAGACAAAGGTCTACACACCAACTTATTATATCAAACATAAATAAGCCCACAATGTTTTAGCAGCCATTTAAAAGACTGAATTTGTTAGAGAACAAAAAAATATTTTCTTCTTTGAAGTCCAGTTTCTAAAGTCCAGTTTCTAAAGGTATAGAATCCTTCATTTGCTTAGATGAGTTGCAGCTATTGAGGGGAAGCTTCAAAACTACTTTGTAGCACCCAGTTACCCTTTCCAGTTTATGTTTCTCTGACACTCAGAACTGTTCCTTCTAAATGTGCTTAAAGAGAAACCTTTTAAGTCTAAGTCCTCTCTGTGCCAGCATCAAGTAGAGGCTGCACGCTCAGGCTGCACAAGTGGTTACATCTCTCAGGGGAAAGAACAATCAGGATTTCGGCATGAAGAAAACAGATGTTTCTTTTCCATATATATAAAAGAATAGTTGTTGGCAGTGCATCTAATCTGTCGCATGCCATTGCTTGCATTCAGGGAAGGTCCAGTGGAAGGATAAGGGCACAGTAGTCACCTAGGATTTGTACAGAAGAAGCAGGAAAGGGACAGAGATGTTGGTATTCCAGACTTCCTTGGGACTAAGTCATTGTAAGCCTGATCTGGAGGAGAAACTAAGTTCACTATGGGGAGTAAAATTGATCTTTTAGGATATCCTGTTGCCTGGTTTGTAAGGATCTGAGAACTCTATGTGAAAGGGCTGGGCTCACCAATGCTTGGCTTTTTTCTTTATTTTCTTCACTGTATCACTAGACAGAGAAAATAAGGGGGTTACAGTAAAGAAAGTAAATTGTTGCTATTTGCCTACATGAACATACTGGGACTTTCTCCAGAGTGAAATGACATGCCAGCAGGGGGAAAGACTTTTCACTATAACCAATGGCTCTCTGGAACAGAAGAAATCAGTAAAAGAAAAATAATTCATCTTCTTGAAAAAGGAGAAACTCATCTAAAGCAGGTGACTGTTCCTTTCTCTTTGCCAACATAATTTGCAAATGTATGGTGTTATATGCATATAAATAATAGCACAGCCTGCAGTTTCTGAAATCTAATTTTCCTTCCACATTTTTCCTCCATGTTTCTTCTATGTCTAAATCTCTGTGTATATCACTATATAGATGAAAACCAGAAAAAGCTGATCCACTGTTGAAGTACCTGAGTATAGTTCTATTACAGTCATTGTACACACTAACATTTAATTAGTTGAGAATCAAGCCCTGAAAATAAATTCCCATTTAACAATCAAGAAAAGTAAAAGGATTTTTAAAATTAGTACCACAGAACAGGCTAAGAAAAACGATTCTCAGGGACAAGCCTTAGGCTGAGAAGAGCCTTCTACAAAAACTATACCCAAGAAGTTTGCCTTCTTTTCTAAGGCACACTAGTTCAATGCACTAGTGCTTGTCACAAGACTGGCTATGTGAGTAAATGTCAGACATAGAGAGTTGCATAATAAATCTAGTCTAGAATGACTTTTTTGGGCAGGAGAGGTTATCGTGAGGTCGATTAGCCTCCAAGGGAATTTCTACAAGAAGCATAAAGATAAATCCTCACCTCCATCTCTAGCAATGAGAGCAATCTGAATTGTGTTTTAAAATGTAAGCCCCATTCTCAACTGTTTCTGATTAGAGATGGGTGTATGCTCCTTGTCACAATGTGTTTTCAAGAAAACCAGTCCATTTCCAGAAAGAAGAATTAGACATTTTGAAAACAAACTACCTCAGACTGATATAGAAAGGCCAGAATTACTATACTATTTAAATAAGTTTTCGAAAAGAAGTAGTTTGGAATATCAGACTACTTCATAAGTTTTCATTCTTATTTTATTATTTTGTCATTTATCTATAGCCTTCCTTACCGGAAGGCAAAAAGTGAACTGCTATGTAATATCACACAACAGCTAATATACTGCATTGTATTTAGCAAATATTAAGAACTACTTAAAACAGTTGGAACAACTCATCCCTTCTCTGTCTAACTCCATGAAGACGAGGCTGGACTGCTTACATCCCAGTTGAGTGCTGTGACTGCTATTTTGTCAAATCAGTCTTGTACTTTTTCTCAAGGAACACATAAACATTTGCACAAGGAAAAGAACTAAACAAACTGGACTTAAGGAATTATTACAAATCAGGCAAAACAGGAACCTGGCCCTAGTTTCTAGAAGTCCAAGTAAAAGCCTTAGCAGCCAGTCGATTGCCTACCTCAAATAACATTCCTTATAAAAACTGTGATATTTTCAAGAAATACGTTGATTTGCTGGAGATGCATTTGTTGACAGGAAAATATGTCATCACCGTTTTTTTCATGAACACCTGATAATCTTGGCCCTGTAGTATTAGAAGATGCAGACACTACATACAAAGAGTTGGAGGTTTTACATAATTAATGTCTTGCCTACAGGGCAAGTATATCAGAACAAGGCTCTGTATCCTCTACAATAGTGACATTTCATTACTAGATTGTGGCATTTATTTGAAAAATCTCACCAACTGCAATAGTAATTCTCTATATTAAATTATAGCCCACATTTTGGTAATTATATAGCAATAGATAGCACAAAATAAAAACTAAAAGTGTTTTTTGTATGTGGCTACAAATTAATTTGCTTTCTTCTTTCTTGTTGTCTTCCTCTTTTTTATACCACTTTTCTTTTTAGAGGAAGTGTCCATGTATGTTTTTCTTGGCTAGCTGTCAATGATACTATTTCCAGCAAAATTACTTTCCTTAAATTAATCACAGCAGTGATTCCCAAGGCAAAATAAAGCATGAATAATCCCATATTTTAAAATGAAATGGCAGTTTTTAAAAGAACAAATGTTAGAAAAGAGCACTTATTGTTCTGAAAAATCCCCTTAACTTACTTTATTCTTTTATGGCTACTAAGCATCACTGACACTTTTCCTCGTTATGTTTCAGATATTCAATATTTGCTATGTACAAATAAAGCAGCTATTGTTTTCGTGGGGAGTGAGACTCTGATTTCAACTTTGACTATATTTCCTAGCACAGAAATTAGGAAAACAGCAATTTGCCAATATTTGAAGAATGTTTTTACATCTTAGATCTGTACATAGCTGTGAATAGCTTAAAAAAGGCATTAATTTTAACCATCGTTTATTTGATCTTGTGATTTACAAAACAACATTTCAACTCGTAATATTTTTCAAAAGTTTTGCTTTTTTCCTCAGAATGGCATCTCTGTAACGATCCTTATAGATTAGAAATACCTTTTGATCTTGTACTCCTAACAACTGCATTATAAAGAAACTACATATAAAATCTTGGCAACTCTTAAAAACAATACATATACACACCAGACATCCTGTCTGATGATCTGCTGTCTTGGCAGACATCTTGCCATTCATCCAGAGATACTCTTGAACTGCTTGCCATTCCCGGCAACATGAGCAGAATTCCCTTTAAAATATTTCTGACCCAGCACTTCAGACAAACCTACAGGATGTTATTGGACCACTCCTTTTTCAGCCTAGATGGTTTTCAGCTCCTAATCCATAGCATTCATTCCCATTGTCATTTTTTGTAATCTGCCTACACAAAACAGTGAGGTGAATCTGTTGATGCAGAATGATCTAACGTGCCTTTCCATCTGCCTCGGAAATAATATTTCTTGCTCTTCCTGCAATTTCTAGCAGTAACTAGGAAGGATGCCAGTTGGCCTACGTCTGATCTAGATAAAGTAGAAGTGGTACTAATTAATGGAGAAATATTTCTAGGATTAGATGAAGTACATAACCTAGCCTTAAAATGAGGAAACTCAGAATCCTTCTTAAGACTCCCTCAGTCCCTCAGGGGGACAGATTACACTCAGTGTCATAAATATGGTTCTTGAAAGGAACAGGCTGAATACTCCCAGTTGGCTATGTTCTTTATCTCAGTTACTAAAACTAGTTTCTAAGACTTTTGAGAGAGATTTTTCTGAGTTTTTTTTAAGATTCTGAGATTTTTTTTCTGAAATTTGGGAGTCATTGATACATTTCTCAGTCATCTTGCTCAATGACAACAATTTTTCTTTTAATATTACCTTACCCAGGTGTGAGTGATACAGATAGAGACAGCAGTTGGACACAGTGAAAAGAAACACTGTCTCTGTATCTGACAAACATTTATGTAAGTGATTTGACAGGTGTGGTAGGAAGGGAGAAATATTTTTGCTAAAGGACTCAAGATCTCTCATCAGTAGCACACACTCCCAGCTCTTTAGAGGAAAATTTGTTCTATGCTTTAACAAATGAGGGCAAATCGCATCCTGGGCTGTATCAAAAGAAGTGTGGCCAGCAGGTGGAGGGAGGTGATTCTGTACCTCTATTCTGCTCTCATAAGACTCTACCTGTAGTATTGTGTCCAGCTCAAGAGTCCTCAACACAAGAAGGACACGGACCTGTTGGAATAAGTCCAGAGAAGGGCCACAAAACTGATCAGAGGGCTGAAGCATCTCTCCTATGAAGACAGGATGAGAGAGTTGGGTCTGTTCAGCCTGGAGAAGACTCCATGGAGACCTGATAGCAGAATTCCTGTACCTGAAGAGGCCTACAGGAAAGCTGGGGAGGGACTTTTTACAAAGACATGTAGTGACAGGACAAGGGTTAACTCTTTTAAGTTGAAAGATAGTAGATTCAGATTAGATATTAGGAGGAAATTCTTTGTTGTGGGGATGATGAGACACTGGCACAGGTTGCCCAGGCAAGCTGTGACTGCCCCTTCCCTGGAAGCATTCAAGGGCAGGTTGGACAGGGCTTTGAGCAACCTGGTCTAGTGGGAGGTGTCCCTGCCTATGACAAGGCTGGAAACAGATGATCTTTGATGTGCTTTTGAACCCAAACCATTTCGTAATTCTATGAAATAGCAATGAAGGACCATCAACTTCATTTTCACCTAAAATAAGCTATTTAGCTTCCAGTTTGGAAAGGGAGCTGAGGGTAAATTTATCCTGCTGAAATCGAACATGTCTTATCAGCACTGCCAATATATATGAGCTGGTTAGCTTTCTTTGGCCAGCCTAAATTAAGAGCTTCCCCTTTTCTTTCATAAGTATAGTATAAAACTGTTGCAAATTCCTCATTCCTGACAACATAAAATAGCTGTCCTGTTTTTATGAGGACTTACAACATCACATAATCTTCAAGTTACCACACAGGTAGAAATACTTTCGATGAGAAATACTTCCACAAGGTCGAAGTCACCTCTGGCACATATGATTGCACTGAAAGGAGACTATAAGGTAAACAATATACAAACTCCTTTGATTTTCATTATTTGAAGATCCTACAGTACGTAGGATCCTATCAGACGTGATAGGTTTACAGTACTGAAGAAGAGATACACAACACTCTATTCTGAAAGACTGTGACATATCAATTTTCAAAATAGTAAAATTGCACATTAAAAAATTATTTCAAATCCTTTTAATAAATTTTAAATATACTGATTCTAGAGTACTTCCTCAACAACCACTACAAATGAGAGCACTAGAATTGTGAATACCTGAGCTGGATTGTTGTCTGTCATAGATATGCACTGAGCTAAGCCTTTGTTCCACAAGTCCCAGGAATGAATGGGGAAGAACTGAATGTGACTACATCCCACTGTCCTTCCTCGTTATAAACAGTATTTCAAATTAGGACATGACCTGGGAAGTTGTGCAAGCTTGGTTGTCCAGGTGTCTGCAATTCTAAGGGGCTGTACAATCAGAAAGAGAAGAGTAAAATCCTTCCATTTTGCTCACAAACCTTCCCTTTGCCTTCAGCAGGGAATGAGGCACTCTGATGCTATGCATCATGACAGAAAGCTTTTATGTGCAAAAAGCTCTCAGTTATTCATGGTAACGTTTGGTGTCAGCTAAGCCTATAGAAGAGAAATGTGATTTATTCCTAATTGTTCTACAGATAGGATAGGAATAAAAATAATATTTTTAAGTCTTCAAACTCTAAAAGAGGGATCTGGATAAATATTTGTCCTATGAAGTCAACACAGATATGATAGAAAAAAAATACTTATTCTTACCTAGAGATTTCACGTCTATCATTTGCAGAATTCCATTTACCAACAATGCCAAGAAATCTTGTACTTAGTGTTCATGAGAAAGCTCATCTAAGCATGTAGGACGTTGAACCTTGGTTAAGTCATATGTGTATTATCGTCTAATTAGGTCTACTGCCTAAGTTTTTGGTTTGTTTCTTGACTGCTCCACAAATGCACATTAATTAGCATTCGTTTTTTCTAAGGAGCCACACTGGATAGCAACAGAATTAAATTTAGCAGATGATAACCTAGAGACATCTAGAATACTCTTAGAACATATAAGTTAGTGAAGTTTAAACATTCATTTGAAGGCCTTTGAACAAAACTCAGCTTCAAATACCCTGTTCTAAGGTCATAGCTTTGGGGAGAAAGAACAAGTATAGTCTGCACTCAAAAAACACCAAGTAGTTTTTTGTTAGTTGAAAGACTTAGCTCATTCTGTATTGTCAGCTCTTAAAAGGCTACTAATTCCAAGCATCAATTTAGATTACTGCATAAACTAACGTTCACCTACACAAGCAAATATATAAATACGTTACTGAGGAAACAATTTGAAGGAATGGTCAGTGATTTAAAGATCCAAGCATCACTCTCATGCTATTGTAAAATGCCTTAAATGATGGAATTATATTTATTTTATGCATCTGGATTTGAACAGATAATGGCACACCTAGGAGTTTGTAATGGCACTCCTACCTGCCAGTCTCATCTTGATTTTGAAGGTAGCAGTTGATTGTGTTGACTAAAAAGCTAAATAAACGACCATATAGAGATTTTGCCAAGAGATCTCGGTAAAATTCTGCAATCTCAATAGTGTGTCTCCGTACAATCATGTCTCCTAAGAGATAAAGCAGAAAATGGAGATGAAAGCATCCTGTAAAGCTTGCCTTAAGTAATTTTAGTTACAGTTAAGTCCTTGTGCCCTTTTTACTTTTTTTGCCAAACACATACACGGTGACAGTTTTTTCCTGAAGCCTTCAATGAAAGACAAGAAGGCCATCAACACTCTCGAGTTCTTCAGTTTGGAGAGATGTACCTCTGCACTTTTTTCAATAAAAAAGGGCATGTGTACCACACAGAACCTGCATTTTACTGGAAAAAAAAAAATTCTTCCCAAACTTTCCCCTCCCCCTGACATTCATGTTGAATTTAGTTCTTAGCATTAATATCTAATATGTTATCTTGACACACTTTTGTAAGATTAATCAAGTTAGGAGTCCATCAGCATTAGACTGTGAAACTGCTGTGCTTCACTTTACTCCAAAGTAATTTCCAATTTAGTGGCTCAGTCTGACTTACTGCATGACAGATCATCTCATGTATTCCTCAGAGAGAAAATTTACAGGACCATACAAGAAATAAGAAACAAAAATTATCAGTTTTTAAAATTCTCAAAAGAGAAGGATCAAAACACTATCAGGTCTGATCTATGAGAATGCAAAATCGGAAAAGATTACCTTTAAAATACTGAACATCAGTTGTTAAGGCTGAAGCAAGCTCATCTGGTAAAACCTGTAGCATCCCTGCCACTGAAATGAAAAGAGAGTTTAAATAACAAGTGATTTGTACTCCATTGCATATCTTATTTTTTATAACATATTTTCTTATGTAGATGCTATTTTTTATTAGTGAAAGAACCCACACACTAAAGAAAAGAGTGCTGTGACATGAATAATCAAAATTAATGAACATACAGAATCGGATCATGATAATCAGCACTCTGTGAAGTTTGAATGTGCCCATATTTTATATTACAGCTTTCTTTCCTCTTTAAAGGTTACTCAGGACTTTCCCGCGGGCTTGGCAGACTTTTGCTTGTATTAGAGTTAAGGTATGCTGCTTATTGACATTCTGCATCCATAAGCCACTTTGAGATTTGTTAGTAACCAAAAGGGCAAAATTCAAAGCTTGAAAACAAGAGACCCTTTTAAGACATAGATTCTGAATGTAAGGAATTCAATTCAATGCAAATTGTTCAGCTGTTGACAGGCAGCAGAAGAACATTTTAAAAGAAGTCTACCCTAAGTACAATCTCTTTTGGCAAATGTCATCACTAAATACGGCACTGAATTAGATATTTTTCAATACAAGTGTTTTATTTTGTCCCATAAAAATCCATAGTTTATAAAACATCCAAGTCTATTGGATACTGTCTTCCCACTGTAACTTAGGGATTTACAGAAGTCAATTTTTCTTTCTCCCTGGAACTGTGTTTCCATCTGTTGGTGGATCAGCGCAAGTGCCCTGATTGTGACGCTCCAAGGTCACATCTTACTGACCTTGTTCCAGTAGCTGCAGGTCTGACACGAATGCTGTCTCAGCGTCTGTCAGAGCTGTGAAGCGTATGTCTCCAAGATGCAGAATTGCTGAGAGAATTACAAACAGGTTCTCCACCTCCTGCACATATTTTATGCAGAATTAAAGATAAATAAGAGATCTGTTTGGCACACCAGTGAGAGGCAATACTTCATAAAAATACAAATTCTGTTCATTTGTATCATCGGCATGTGCTAAGTGAAAAAGCACTTATATGTGAACCATTAACAGGAAGTCTGGATTTAGCAACCAAACTGGAACCTAAAGCAAGTTTACCTATTTTTTTCCCTTTTGTTTTAATGCAAATCACATTAACTACTGAGTTAAGAAAGTTTTTCAGAATACGATAAAAAATGGTGAAATAACTTTAATGGATGCATTATTTCTGCATGAAATAAATGTATCCTCACCATAGAGAATTTTCACCAAAACTAATTCTGTATCCAGGAATAGCAAGGTTTGTTTTTAACTCAACCTACTGCATTAAGAATCCAAGTGTCTAGCTCTAAATTATAGCAGGTTCCTAGTAGTAAAAGCTGTAGTTAGGGTCTAAAAGAAACAAAAGCAACCTCCTTTAACCCATACACTTTCCACCATGATTGCATGCTATGTTCTAACACCTCTAGGGCTGTGAAGCAGTTACATCTTTAGGGCTAGGTTTTTCCTGGCATCATTTTCACCACACAAGAAGAGAACTACTTTTCTTGTTTGCTTTTCTGTAGGATTTTAAATTCAAGAAAACACAAGAGATCCATTAAATATGAACCAAATATGCTGAGACATCAAAAAACTTCTGTATTTTTGGATTTTTTTTTTAAGGTCAGTTATATAACAATTGTGCTCCTTCAAAACTGCAAAATAAGAAACCTGACATCCACTAATGCATTACATGGCATAATGCACAGCAAAGTTAATTGATGATCCTTGACATTTTTTGAAAAATTGCATTTGTAACCTGATTCTAGCGAGACAATAGAAGTGACATTGAGAAGTCACACTTACCGGAATTTGCAGAGTAAGAACTTAAAATGTACTACAAATAATATACTTAGCCAATACATCCCCTTTGTTCTCAGGTGACTACAATGAATTCAGAACACCCTGAAACCATGCTTGGATGACTTCTCATCAGCTTTTCTTCCTCTTGTTCTTTTCTCTAATAAGTATGTCCCTTATCAGAGTACATCAAAAAAAAGCTTTCAGCCTTTCTGAGATACAGACTACAGCACCTCCAATGCTGTTTAAAAAGGTTTGATTCTCTGAACTGTTTTAAGACAGGACTTCAACCTCTTTCTGTATGAGACAGATGTAAACAGGGCAACAGTCTAGTTTTCCATTACACACTACAAAAGTTGAAAATCAAAGAAGCAACATACACAGGTGAATTCTGAATAAGAGAGCTCCTCCAATAGGAGAACTCTCATGCTAATATGGCATTCAAGCTTGGATGCTATACCTGTTTCTTGGGAAGGCCTCTTAGGCAAGATGGAATGGCAGTGTAGTAAAACATACTTCTTGCTTGTTTGTTAGCTTGTTCAGAACTTGTTTGGGGATGACTGTGCAGCACTGAGCTGCAGCAGGCCGGGATAGCTGTTTATTCTGGTGATTTTGGTCAGGCCTAGGGTTTAGTTCACATTCCAGGTTCTGAAACACTTTCTCATTGTGCTCTAAGATGAATGTTTCCTCAACTTTAAAACAATTTTTTAATAAACATTAACATACTTTGAAAGATACCATTAAAGACTGCTAAAGAATGTTTATGCGATTCTTCATAAAGATAATCTACCATTAAATGCAGCTGGATGGTTAAGGAATAATACATACATGTTTTACCTACATATTCCTCTCTAATCTCCAGCACAGGAGATCAGCTTGCAGGACTCTGGAGATTCACAGATTTCTAGCCACCTCAATGATTATTTTAATGCTGCCTGGATATAGATGACTCTTGAGGATGATTTATGCTTTTCTGAGAGGCAATATATTTCCTTTCAAGAACTCTGAGCAAAGTGAAGTGCTGTATCCAAAAGAAAACTGTATGTGAAGTGTTGTCAGTTCTGCAGGCTTCTAAAATGTCATTCATTATGAATTCAATTATATATTTACAGGCTGAACCTCTTCCTCAATAGAACAGAAAGGTTAATGAAAGAGGAAGAGAGATCCACTCATCCATGAACACTGGACAAATGCACAGCTGCCTGGAACTTTTGCTACTGAAGCCTACAGTTCAAGAGCTTGAGCCATTACGAATAAGGAATAATTCTGTCAAATATAGCCATATGTGTTCAGTTTTGTACAAGACCATATGAATATTTATGAAAAATCAAACCTCTTTATATTAAAAGGTGTCTCAAGTTACCAAATAATATTTACTACTACCTCAACTAGGGAATGCCAAACTACATGATGTACCTTCACGACAGAAGTCTAACTCACACCTAAATAACTACTTCAATAGCCTCACAATTATATTTTTGCTAATAGCCCTTGATCCCTTTTTATTACATGTTATTACAGATGTTGTCCAGCTGTCATCTCTTAGGATAATCCAGCATGCTGTCCCATTAACTTTTCCTCCGCTTTTTTCTTATGAAGCTAAATATCATTTTAGTGGTAAATAAGTTTTTACTTCTATAAATACTGTTGCTTACACATTTGTTTTACAGAAATGTCCCAGCTACAGTGTGGTAGGTAGCATATATATATATGTAAGGAATACTGGGAGTTCATGAAACATTCTAGTATCCTGAAGGGAATTACACAGTTTACATGAGCTCCTATATGCAGCCCTCCATCTTTCCTGATTCCTCTTCATACCTCTGTCCTCCAGAACCTCTTCTTGATTAATTTTCCAAATTTTCTTCTTCATTAGCTTAACAGATATAAATACAAATATCAGCCCTAATTTCTTGTTCCTTTTTTGGGGGTTAATTCAGCTCTTTCAAGTTACCCCTCTCTAATTTTGTTCAACTAAGTAGGTATTTATTTCTTTTCAGGTGCTGCTAGCAAAGGCATATGGAACATGTGTTTCACAAAATTAAAAGGGACAAGGAGATAATCAGGAAGTGGAAAAAATTCCTGTGGGTTTTATGAGGTTTCTGTCATAGGGGATTTGATTGTTTCTTTTTATCTATGTAATTTAATTGTTCAAGAGTATTATACCTTGAAGCTGTTTTGTGAATCTTTCAGAATGAAAAAAGATTTACATTGTTGGTGCAGTGTCTAATTAAAAGTGATTACAGTAATTTCCCTGGAGTGAACTAATACTGTATATTGTTTCAAGGTTTTAACCAATGAAAAAAAAAAGAAAGATGGAAAGGCACGTCTTTTCCCACAAAAGGCTATCAGTAAGAGTTCCTTATGGCCTGCTTTTTACTAAGCAATATGTTGACTTTAGCCACAAATAACAGAAGCGTGTGTAACTTACCAGGTTATTGAATCCCATGGCACCTAGAGCTTGTTTTAGTATGGCTAATTTCTCCCTGTTTTGAGGGTTGGCTGTTAACATCGTATCTTCCAGTACAGTCTGGCTTAGATACCTGCACAGAGGAAAAACAGCATATATACTATTTAAAAGGCCGCTGCAGAATCAAACTTCAGAGGTTAAAAGCCAGTTTTGCTTTTCTAACCAGAGGTTCATTGCAGATTTTTCTCAGCCTTAGGACGGAACAGTACCAGTGATATAATGCTTATTGCTTTCCTTAAGCTTCCTCTTACGGCTCCCCCACCAGCTTTATCCCTACATGTAAACTAAAACATAAGATTTAACTTATACCACTGACGGTTTTGCCATTCTTGCACTACCAGAGATTCCCCTTCAGAAGGAAGATTTAAGGAGATCCTCCCATAACTCTGACTGCTTATATTCCCCTCCTGCTGGCTAGGGTATAGATGAGCTCTTATCTGCCTGATCCCATGATGGTAATCTACTCCCTTAGCAGCTGAATAGGTGACAAGTATAACTCAGCATCTTTTAGAACAAAGTAGTTAAATAAGTACATAGAGCAGCAAGTGTGCAGCCCTTAAGTTGTACTGCTTGCACACTGAAGCAAAAGGAATTTTTACAAACCTAGCCAAAAATAATCATTAGAAGAGGGAAAGAAAAAATTAACAGAAAGAGTAGTAAGACAAAAAAGAATAACCAAAACCTGCTAAGCAGAGTCTAACCTTTGCAACAGTGTCTTTTGACCCTCTTGAAATATGTCTACGGGCCAGATTTTTAAGAGGATTCATGTATCTTCTTAAACTGAAATCACAAAGAGTGAGGTGTCTGAATACCTTATGGGATCTGATTTTTAATTACATCCTGCTGAGAATGTAAAAATGTTTTCTTTTATCATTATCCTTAAATTATCACTAAAATGCACAATCATCACACAATATATGATCTTCACGAATGTCACTTATATCAACAACGGAATTCCCCCACCTAAATCAAATTAACATCGTTACAACACAAACAAAGGTGGACAATTCACACACACTCCACCCCTCATCCCTTCACCATAATTACAAAACAATTCCCCACAATTATTCTGCTCTCTAATAATATTCAGTCTATGATCTGGCCCATAAAGATGGAAAATAATACTTGTTTAATTTCTGACAATTCTTGTTTACAATCCTATTCTAATTGCACTGTAGAGGACACACGGTTTCAAAATAAAACTCCTATTAACACAGAAAGTCTAGCAAAGTAGCTATTGTAAAGGTGGCCTTTTATGTGGATGTGTGTAGCTTTTAGAAAATCACAGAAGAATGAGAAAGTATTTGTATTTTTCTAACCTATAATGAGGTTTATGAGGTGTCCATGATGAAATGCAGAGTGCATTTTTTGTGGATTTATACCAAATTTACCATTGTGGATTTCTCTTGGAGTGATAATGGTGTAAGCTACCCCAGCAGGTGGGAAGAACAATGATGGGGAAAAAAATGTGTGCCTAGGGGCATAAGCACTTTTTGCACCCACAGGAGAACTCAGTCAGCAGATTTCTCAAGTACAAATAAGCCTCACATTAGTGGCTAAAACTGGTGAATTAACACAACCTTTGAGAACGTGGATCTTTGAGCATCACTGCCAGAGCTCTGCACTGTTTCCTTGAGGTTACTAAAACCAGATATCAAATTATCTAGAGCAGATGATATAAAATATATGACAAATTTATGGGTGGATTTTTTTCTTGATTTTTTTTTACATTGCCTGTATGTTTCAAAAGGAGTCTGATAGTGAATCTGGCATAGAACCTACTGGTATAAAGGTTCATCCAGCAGAAAAATTTCCACTGTTCCATACTGCTGCATGAGCTTATACCAGTTCAGTGTTGGGCAACATGTGTTGGTGGCATTTTTGACTCATAATTAGGAGAGTTACAGTGGCATCTGCTCTACTGTAAAAATATCCTGTTGTTGAATGGCTAGAGGAGTTGGAAGCTGATAGCCATTTCTGCAAATAAACCTCCTTAGTGGTGTTATCCCTGGATAACTTTGTCTCTCTCTCTGTGTACTGAGCAGGGAGCATTCTGTGAAGAAAATGTTGTATACTTCTCTTATTTTAGCCAACCCCATTTAATTAGCTCTTTTTAGGTAAGTTAAAGTGCTAGTGGGTATGGTTGTAGCAAAAAGATGCATGAACGCTACCAACACAGGTCGTGGCATCATAACAAAGTGACCCAGAACGCTCATTCCCTTGGAGAAAGAGCTGAGCTGAGCTGTGATATGAACCAATGCAAGACAGTTCTTGTCTTCAGCCAAGCACTTTTTGCTGATACAGCAGGGGGCAAATCGGGTACCAGCCAAACCAGATGCCTGTGGCTCCAAGAACCTGTCCATAAACTGTAGCATCTGTCAGGACATGTCTGTTGGAAGAGAATCTAACTTTCCCAGTATAAATCTCCTGAAGATTTAATCAGCAGATGTGGTGATGCCCTTGAAAGGGCTGCAGTTGGACATTTTCTAAGATGTACTGGGATTTAGAATCAGTTTTCTCAGTCTAAAAGAAATTAAATTATTTTATAACATGTTATGAGGCCCACTCATTTTCCAGATTATTTAAGAACTAATGAAACAAGAAAAATGTTTTGAAGACATGCACATTCAGCTGTTACATGTTTATATTATAAAGTATATGCATATTAAGGATGGATCAGTTGTATGGACTACTTGAAGCTGTTGATAGATATCATACAACTCCCCCAAAATGCAGAAAATATACTGTGTAGCAGAGTAGGAGTATACTATATACTAGCTGTAAAAGGAATAACATTTTTCTCATAATTGTTGAATTCATTCTACCTCAGAAACATATTGACATTTAGACTAAAATGTGGTTTTTTGTTTGTTTGTTTGTTTTTTCTTGTGGAACAGTTCCCTGGCATCTGCTTCTTTCCACTGTAGAGGCCTAAAGGATGAAAAGAGCTTGAGACACCCTTTATATTAATATTATTGACATTACCTATTTATGCTTAAAATCCAGAGTCCAGAACCAATTTTAAATTCTTGTCTGTACTACAAAAAAAATAAGGAAAGGGGAAAGAGATGGGTAAAGAGATATATCACAGCACAAAACTCCTAACAATAATGAAATATTACTTCATAGAACCATAGAATCATAGAATTGTCATCAAAGTTGGAAAAGATCTACAAGATCATAAAGTCCAACTGTCTGCCCTACAACTCATAAGCATGAAACCATCTCCTGAAACACCACATCTACCCATTTTTTAACATCTCTAGGGTCAGTGACTCCACCACCTCCCTGGGCAGCCTGTTCCAATGCCTCAATGCTCTTCCTGTGAAGAAATTTTTCCAATATCCATTCTGAACCTCCCCTGATGCAACTCGACCCCATTTCCTCTTGTCTTATCCCTAGTGACTAGGGACACCTGCCTCCTCTCAGGTAGTTATAGAGGGCAATGAGGTTTCCCCTCAGCCTCCTCCAGGCTGAACAGCCCCAGCTCCCTCAGCCCCTTCTCATAAGACCTGTTCTCCAGACCCCTAATCAGCCAAGTTGCCCTTCTCTGCACCCTCTCCAGCACCTCAATGTCCTTCCTATACTGCAGTGCCCAAAACTGCACACAGTGCTTGAGGTGAAGCCTCACCAAGGCTGAGTAGGGGGGCAGGATCATCTCCCTGGTCCTGCTGGTCACACTGTTCCTGATGCAGGCCAGGATGGTGTTGGCTTTCTTGGCCACCTGGGCACACTGCTGGCTCATGTTCAGCCAGCTGTCAATCAATACCCCCAGGTCCCTCTCTGCTGGGCAGCTCTCCAGCCACTCCTCCCCAAGCCTGTAGCAATGCCAGGGGTTGTTGTGGACAGAATGCAGGACCCAACATTTGGCCTTATATGAAGCTCATACAGTTGGCCTTGGCCCATTGATCCAGTCTGTCTAAGTCTCTCTGCAGGGCCTCCCTGCCCACAAGCAGATCGACACTCACACCCAACTTAGTGTCATGTGCAGACTTACTGAGGCTGCACTCTATCCCTTCATCCAAATCATCAATTAAGATGTTAAACAGGAGCAGCCCCAGCACTGAGCCCTGGGAACACCACTTATGACTGGCCTCCAGCTGGATTTAACTCCATTTCATATCTTCATATCTATTCCCTATTTTCATAGAATGCAAAAGCTTTTTCAGTATGTATAGCATTCCTCATATTTGTAGTACATTTTTGTCCTTTGTCATTCAAGTAACCTGGAAAGAATTGCATTGCTAAACAAACAAAAAACCAAACAAAAAAAGAAAAAAAGAAACTGACACAAAATAGGGTTCATTTAAGAAGTTAAACTAATGGATAACTCTAGCAGAGTATAGTCACTATGATTAAAACACAATGCTGCATTAAACAATTCCTGGAGAAAGGCAAAAGACTATCTACATTTTCCTGAATTTTCTACTAGCAATTCTGATTTTCAGCATTGTAGCATACTCATCTATTCTAGTCTCTGAAAGGAAAAAAACAACAACAACAACAACAAACTGTTTAGAAGAAAAATACCAACAGTGGTAATTTTTATGTATACAACTTATTGTAGCATACAATTTTTCAACCGTCATTCAAGTGACATCACAGACATCTAAGGGATGCAGAATGGTAGAGCATGGAACAGGACTTAGAGAAATAATCTAATTTCAAGGAGATGCAAAATGTGAAGGTACTGTACTAGAACTAAGATTAAAAGATAATTTTCAATACACATTTCTTCTAGATGTTGATACTGCATTCCTAACAAGTTTGCAGAGGACATCAAATTGTGGGGAACAGCCAGTATGCTGGAGGACAGGGTTGCCCTTTACAGGCTGAAGGCATGGGCCAACAAGAACTTAATGAAATTCAGCAACGTACAAAGTCCTGCAGCTAGGAAGGGGTAAACCCTTACAATGATAGAGGCTGATGAGCTGGGGAGCAGCTCTGGGGAAAAAGGCCATAGGGGCCTGAGGGCAATGGGCTGGGCAGCAGAAATGGCCAGAAGAATCCAGGGCTGCATTGCTAGGAGCACTGCCAGGAGACTTGGGGAGGTTTCCTCCTGCTCAGCACTCA